ATGTTGCACTTTTTCCTATTTACACGTACGCATTTTATTCTACTACTAAATTAAATTCATTTAGTTATAGCAAAGATCCGAGGGATTTATCTGCTTAAGGTATATTCTTAATTACATAATTGGGCCCACAGTTGCTGTGAGGTAAAGTCGCTGAACATTGGTAGCTCGGTCTGAGGCTCGAATCCCAGCGAACGGGCTAGCTGCATGGGCGCTTTCGTGTTTTTACGTACATGTAACGTGTATACTAGCCATTTTCCCTTAAAAAATCCTCCCCCGCACCTCCTGTTAGGCAGATATCCCTGAAGTGCTTTGCCATAATCATATAAACCAAATCAAAAACTTAATTACATAATGCGAATTCATTTATTTACGGTCAACTTTTTTTTTAATTACACGCTATTCAGATTTTTTGTGGGAATTATTGATCGTAATAAGGCAATGATATCAACTCTAATCATAATCGTTGGCACAATGTTTTCATTTGAAAATTGTAAATCGAATTGAAATCTTCATTACAAAAATTTAGGACTTCAAAGAAAAATGACGTATTTCTTGCTCAGTGCGCACATAAAGAAAACAGTGCAGCTTAGCGCACATAAAAAAAAAACTCTAAATTCTTTTACTTTTTAGGTCCTAGATCGGAGTCTTACAAATATTTCAACTCGTTTAAAATTTGATGCTCAAAAGCGGCCAGCGGTCAAGTCGCCGAACACTAGTGGTTCGAATCAGATTCAAATCCCGGTAAGCGGGCTGGCTTCACTGGCGTTTTCGTCGTTTCCCGTGTGTAACTTGGATAAGAGACAGTTTCCCTTACAATATCCTCTACGAAGGCAACTTTTCCCTTAGGCAGGTAGTCCACGCGTGCTTTGCCGTAAAGGCAGGGGTTCTGAACCGGTGGTACGCAAAAGAAAAGTAGGTAGTAGAGAAGCAAAGTGTTTTTAATTATTAGATTCGAAAATTAAAATCCTAACATCCTGATTCAGTTTTTTTTTTTTTTTTCCAACACTCGTAAATTTATGAGATCTGAGCTTTTGTTCAAGAATGGTGGTGGTAAAAGTACTTTGTAGTAGTGGTATTAAATGTTTTCAATTTTTGTTTAGGTGGTAGGCGTTAGTCAAAAGGTTGAGGTTAGTCAAAGGTTGCACTAAACCATCTAAAATTAGAAACTTCTAAATATTCTTCTAGAAATTACAACTTTTATTTTAAAATACTATGCATTTTTTAAGTTGGATTCAGTTTTATTCTTTCTTACTTGAAAATGCTCAAGCATTTAACTGCAGAAACTTATAATCAACAGCCCAACTGGTAAGAGATGTCTGCGAGTAGAAATTGCTTAACTGCAATGTATTATGCTAATCTGTTTGAGTTAGAGCAGCTCAGCGATAACGAGAATTGAATTTCAATTACTCTCCATAATTTAAATCAGACCTTGCTCTATTCAAGAGAGCTGAACATTGAAATTCGTAACTGTATTTTGCAGTGGATAATGGAAGAATAGTTTCCTGGTGGTCATAATTATAGTATTCAATGTTTTCAATAACATGTATGTTTATGTTATTGCTATATGACCAGACATAGCTCATCTCTGTGCATTGTTTTAATTTATCAGCTATATACATTAATATTTAACAAATGGTATTTGCAAATGGATTTCTCTCTCTCTCTCTTTTTTTTTAAATCCAAAGGGGCTTTGTGCCTGAAGGACTTGTTTACGTTTTGCGTGGAAAACTTCAAAAGGATGTATCACTTTTCAAATCGTTGTCACCAAATACTATCGCCCTGTATTATATTTGAAGAAATTAAACACTGAAGACTGTGCATAAATACATGTATTTCCCGCCTTGGTATAAAACAACAGTACCTAGAGCAATCTGATTTTGAATGACTTAATCCTGTTGCGAATATGGGCATTTGAAAGCCGAAATTTGGAATTTGTTTTCTTATCGATTTCATATTTTGCAAAACTTTTAACGAAATTTTGATTAACAAACTCAACGATTTAAAAGCGAGCAATGGCAACACTCAACGGGGAAAAAATCTTTTATCTCCGGCGCGCGGAACTGTGTATCGGAAATTCTAAAGATAGGCTCATTTTAAAATTATTTTGCGACATTGCTGTTGAACTGAATTTTGAAGTGCAAAGAACATGATATTTGATAAATAAAAGTAACACACAAAACGCTGAAAAAAGCCCCTTTGGATGTAAATTAAAATCTGAAATCTTTCAGTTTTTTTATTTATTTATTTTTTATTAATTGGTACAGTCCTAAACAGCAAGAAATCGCTATAATTCTGTACTAATTCGACTAATAATAAGGAATATGCTACATATTTAGAATGTTTGAAATAGTAATGCGAACACCAGATTATTCTACAATAAGTGGAATTTTACAATTCAGTGTATGTGGTTTACAGTTCCTATTATTTACTGCAACAAACTGTTTCCTTAAAAAGTCTTAATTTAAAACTAAATCTTATAATAAATACGATGTTAATAAATTACCGTGATTTGTTTCATTATAAATTAATCAAACATTTTTTCACCTTTCCTGTAACGTTGTATGACAGTGATTCTGGTAAAATATTATCCATAAAGCCATACCTCAACTGTTCTCATGTACTATTAATATAAATGATCGCCTATAATAACATTAAAACCTCAAGGAAAGAGAACCAAAGATTCTGAAAATGATCTGATTACATATGATAGCAAGGTATCTCTTATATAGGTATCTTTTATATAATTAAAATTGGTCCTTCACCATTTCCAAAACATGATTAGAAACCGCGCAGTACAAGTTGTGACATCATAGAAACGCAGTGCGATTTTCATTTTTATTAACCAAGTATGATATTTTACGACATCTACAAGAATAGTAGTATAGTAATGTCACTCGCTATTTTTTTCTTCGTGTAAATGTTCCCATCAAAACATTTTTCGGCGAAGAGAAAAGGAAAAAAGAATAAAATACGCAGTGTTCTTCATCTACTGAAACGTATCACTATTTTGCATTAGTATTCAAACTCTGAAATCCAAAATAATCTCAAAACGAGACATTTTATTACTTTTGATGTACATTCTACACTTTTTTAAACAAACATCATATAGATTCTTTAGTACATAACGCTATTCTGCTTAATTATGGAGATAAAATTTTAAACTAAATTGAATGGCTATTTTTAATTATATTACTATCAAAGGTGCAGTAAAAAAATCAAATCTGATATTCTTTGTCTTTCGGTGAGAACGTTTAGTACAATCGATCAATGAATTTCTAAATACTGTAATTTTCTTCTGGATAGTATTTCTGTTGGTAAGATGTTAACTAATAGTTTATTTTAGCATGATTACGCTGGAACTGGGATCCTTTATTATTTCTTTGTACGAAGTAGAGGAAATATTGTAATCGCGAAAAAATTCGAGAATCGGATTTCAACGGAAATATCAGTTTTGACCGTTCCCGAATCACTTTAGACACTTTTATCTGTGCCGTCTACACGTACGGACATAACTCCTCAAAACGGATTGTAAAATGCATTTTAAAGGGATTCTTCCTTTGCGTCTATACGTATGTATGTCGCATAGCTCAAAACGTCATCTCTCATAACTCAAAAACGATTAGCTCAAGAAAATTGGAATTATATAAATGGGAATCCTATAATATCTAATTGTGCAACTCCCTTTTTTATTACAATCCCGCAGTACCGAACATTTATATATAATATATATACCGCAATCGTTGGTTATAGTCATATACTTCCAATTACAGAAGAGTTTTAAATGACGAAAATATTCATGTTTTGGCAATGTCAGAATTTTTAAAAAATGAATTTTCGATATATAACGAAATCTAACTTTGGATGCGATCTCCATGTTAATATAATTAAGTTTTGGAAAGTTTTATATTCGTTATAAAAAAATAAAATTATGAGAAGTTTGACTCCCGTACGGCGAAAACTGAGCGGAAAATTTAATTTCAAAATTTACAATTTTTGGTGTCATTTTCAACTTGCCTCCAAGGATTGGTTAATTAAGTCAGAATAATTCCACGAAATAATTTTAAATGAAGTGCAACAAGGGGTGTGAAAAATTCAAAAGGCTGTCATGTGATGTCCACATCAAATTTTTATTTTTAAATTAATGTTTTCAGAGCACGAAACACTTATTTGATTTGATTATATCATTTAAAAGTAATTAAATGCGTCAAATTCTGAGAAACCATAAGATTTCTTTTGAAAATAAAATTTTTTTCATGATAATAATCTGTTAATTATCTTTTAATAACTTTATATTTTGTTAAGATAAATTTTAATCCGATTTATTCTGAACGTGCTGTAAGCAAAGCTAGTTAGAATGCAGGAGCAGCTGTTGAAGTTAATCGCATTCACTCTCAGCGAACGTGCTGTGAATGTGTCGACTCATCAAATGCCAGCATTTCAGTTGCATTTTCGTTGCTACATTCTATAATACCCAGCAAATATCAAAAGACGAAGAGAAAAATACTTTTGATGGGCTTTTTAAAATTAATATAGAAAGAGAAATATTAATACTAAATAGAAAATTTCTAATATGTTTGTCAGCATTTTATGATTTTATCAAGGAAAAAATCTTCAAATTTCCCATTAAGCAACTTGAAACTAACTTGATAGAATTACCTATTCAATCTTTTAAATCAACGTCCTTTTTACGTTTCGTAAAATTTTCTCAAGAAAAATTTTAATCGTCTAATTAGGTTTTCTTGAAGTATTTAATCATTGTTTTTATTCTTTTATCTTTTCTTTTCCTCAGTAGGTGGCAACAGTATAACACATTTTTTGGATTTTGCATTTTAGCATTGCTTTTCTGTGAATTCATGCGAATCAAATGCTGAATTCAATCAATTGTTGAAAAAATTGTACCTTTTTTTATTATTTTATTACTTACATATGCAAACATTACTTAATGGCATCTTTTTCTCATAAACTGCATTTAATTAATATTATGTACTCCTCATATGCAGTGGGCGGTGGCTCATCTGGTGCTGTCGTAGCCAGTCGTTTATCAGAAGACCCAAATGTCAAAGTTTTGCTATTAGAAGCTGGAGGTCCCGAGAATCAGATAACAGATGTCCCCTTGGTAGCAGCTAGTCTTCAGCAGACGCCTGTTGATTGGGCCTATCAGACTGAACCCCAGGAAGCAGCATGCTTTGGACTCAAAGGCCGGGTAGGGAACTTTAACTTCTTTGAGTTAAATGGAAATGAATTGTATTTTATTTCAGTTTCTGATTTCAAAAAGCTTTCGCTAATTTAATATGTTTAAGACTGCCGCTATTCTGAACCCTGTATTTTTTAATAATTCAGCTGGGAAGAAAATGGTAAATGATTCAATGCAAGTAATAATATTTTGGTTTAGGAAAACAAAAAAAAAAAAAAAAAAAAAAAAAAACCTAACATTGCTGGATTTTCTTTCCAGTAAAAGTTTGTGAGATATGCCTAAACTTTACCTCATATTTTTGCCATTACAAACAGAGAGCAACTTTGAAATTATTCAGTAGCAAAGCATCAGTAAGTGAATTACACTGAATTAGACGTGCAGCGTAAACTTTAAATTGATATGGTTGTATAAGAATTGTTATTACTATGCCATTTCCCTGGAAACGAATACAAATGTATAGTTTGCGCCATACTGTCTATATTTCCTGTATTTCTGCTGCACCCGACGTGAACTACAAAATCCGCTCTGGCTTTGTTGATTTTATAGTTTAACTTATATGCAACAGAAACACACATTAGAAAATTTTCCGTACTTCCTTATTATATAGCGGGCTCCAACCTTGAATCGCTAATCAATAGAGATATTTCGCCGAAATCGCGTGTTCGGTTTACTCGCTACATGTTATAACTTGGTTGATAAGCAATATAATTTGGGAGGAGGGCTGCTATAATAAGGAAGTACTTTTTTAGGAAGTACATTTTTAAGAAAATTTTCCTCACAGCGTTCCTTCCTATCACCAGAGGACCTAGAGCACTGTTCTCTCTAATTGGATAATCCGAATATATGAATAACATGTTTACTACATAATAATGTAAATTATTTTTATTTCGTAATATATTATTTGAAAATGTTAGGCTATTTAATTCAAAATAAAATGCGTATCTGCAAAATATGAATTCCGTTAACAAAGTTTCGTGTTTATGGTAATAAAGAGGAAGAAAAAGTTTGGTGACCATGTAAAAACAGAATTGGGACCTATCAAAGCTAATTAGCTTTTCCATGTGCACAATATATTTGCCTAGTATATTTAGCATATTTAGATCTAAGTATACCTAGCATATTTAGTTCAGATACATTGTGCTGAAAATATGTTATCTTCAAAGTGGTTTGCAAGCGTTTCCTAAGTTCTGTTTAAAGCTTAACATGGAATTCCCAAAATTTCATGCGTGCCATCCACAGTAAATTTTAGTTTAGATCTTTGATCAATAAAACTTTCAAACTTGCATTTTTTCAGCGTACATTAACATAACATTAGTTATAAAAATAAACATTAACTTTTGAAAATATATTCCTAAGGAACGTAGCTATTTAAAAGTACTACCAGTAGCTTTTTAAAGATGCATTATTTCGCAAACAAAGTATCGATAGTATTCCTGCTCACAAGTCGTCTTCTGTTGAGCACTGAGAAATTAGGATAGGAATAAATCAAAATCGAAAAGGTGCCTTATAAAAAGAAACACCGGATGGAACTAGGCTGATATCCAGTGATGTGGTCTGTATTAATTAGTCTAATCCAATTCATTCCTGACAAAAGATACTCGGTACAAGTTCTTTTTTAAAGAGTAATTTCGGAAAATTTAATATTGAATTATCAAATATTTAATAAGATATTGCTTTTGAAATATATTAAATATCTCTGATAAATTTTTGCCATTTGTAGAATTCTTTGACACTATCCTATATTTAATGGAAAGAATTGTAGAGTCACTTATCAAATAAGGTGTATTTCGTTACACTGAATTGATTTCCTTATTTCTGTGTAAAACTTTATAGACATTTACGTTTATTAAAAGTATCTTATTGATGCAAAATAGTTTAGCATAATGGTTTTAGCTTGTAGTGTTCATATTTGCACATTTATTGAAAAATATTGCTTCGTTAAAGGTTTTGTTATATGAATATTATTTCATCTCAATTTACATGATTACTGAAAATGTGAAATAATATTACTTCGTTAAAGGTTTTGTTACATGAATATTATTTCATCTCAATTTGCATGATTACTGAAAATGTGAAATATTTGAATGAAATGTTGCCAATAATATTCCATTCTGCATATTTTATAAAATGTTGTTATTTTTCACTATAGCGCAGCAGATGGCCTCGTGGTCGTGTTCTTGGTGGTTCCAGTGTTCTCAACTACATGCTGTACGTCCGAGGGAATAAAAAGGATTATGACAACTGGGAGAAACTGGGAGCGAAGGGTTGGTCTTGGAAAGATGTGTTTCCTTATTTCCTCAAGTCTGAAGATAACAGAGATCCTCCATTAGTTGAATCAGGTATAGGATATTAGAATATTTCAGATTAGCTCGTATGCATAGTTGCAATTGTTTTTTAACTAAAGTTAGTTTAACCATCCTTATTTTCTTAGTTTCTTAATCTGGTTCAACTAGCTAAAGGTTTCTTAAAAACCCTTCGTTAGTTGAACCAGATTTATGACGTTACGATGTTTCATATTAGCTTGAGTATATCGCAAAAGTAATTATTTAACATATTAATTTAATAACATTTCTCCGTAGTGAAACTTTTCATTGGTCAAAATAGCTTTCTTCCATCTGTACTTTTGCGTGTATTTCGTGGTGTAAGATAACTGAAGATAGCAATGTGTCTTTATCATCCATTCTTTTACGAATATATGCTATTAAAATGGTATGTTGTGTTGTAATCGCCATACTACTTGGGTGCAAAATGGATGTTTTATTGAAAGATAATCATTGCTGTAGTATGGTATCAAACTGCAAAATTTAAGTTATGATGGCAATTTATGAGTGATTTAGTTTTGTTAATTTTAACTTGTGCCATATTTTATAGTTTTCTCTAAATATGAAGAGCAATGATTTTATTTCTCCTAAATTAGCCTGTCTAATGTTAATTTGTTTATCATTCAAACCAAATTAGAGTTTTGTGCTCAGTGAGCAATGATCTCTTAAAGCTTGATGGAATTGTTTGGAAATGAAGATAGGATTGAAATAGTTTGTAACAATTTAATGTGGGCATATAATTAAAATGTAGAAAATGAACAACTATGGGCATAATTTGGCATTGTATGGCAAACGAGATAACAAATTATTATAACAAATAGCGAAATAACTTGTATTTTTAATTGAAATTCATTGTTCAGGTTTCTTCTTGATGTCGCACTTTTTTAATTATTAGGTCTTATTCAGAAGTCTACCTTTGTGCCAATAAAAAAAAAAGATAAAATTGCACTTATCTTCTGTACTTTTCAATTTTATGTCGAAGCGGTAAGTATGGTAACCTGTTTATTCCATCTCACGAGTAATATAATGACACTATTAATAGAAAGCAGACAAAATTGGCAGTGATTTAGTAAGCCTTCCCTTCTCCCTTTTTTGTTGATATGCTTTTTTTAAAAAAGAAACAGTATGGATTACGAAATTTGTCAAATGACGAAGAATCCAGGTTATATTCTTCCAAACAAAAATATCTGGTTGTAACGAACGTTTTTCGCCAAAAAAGTTCTTAACTAAATTAGGAAAATAACATAAAAGCAGTACCGTTACTGCGGGTACTAAACACCACCCAAATCTATGATTTTCTGCCAACGTTTTACTAGGTTTTTAAAGCCTTCGTCCCAGAAACTTGGTGGCCGCGAGTCCAAAAACAGATCAACCTCATTTCGGACGTCCTGTGCAGAATGTAACATTGCATCAGCAAGGCATAGTTGCAGGTGTAAAAAAAGGTAGATGTCCGAAAGAGCGATGTCGGGCTATATGGTGGGCGTGGCAAAAGTACAGAGTCCAGCAAGTGAATGCAGACACATGAGGTCTTTTATTACCTAAATGCAACATTACCTTTTTGCGACGAAACTCAGTTCGACGTGTTTCCTTGATAACAGCGTCATCGTGGACCAGCATTTTACATTTTTGTGAATAATACCACGGCAATCCCACCAAACCATGATCTGTTTGTTAGTCAAATACTTTGCGACGCTGCAGACGGATTCAGCGGGCGCAAACCTATACCCTTTTCGGCCTGTGTTGTGGAAGTAAATCCACGTTTCATCACAAGTGGCGATCCGATCGACAATTTTGTCCTTGCGTTGATATTCGAGCAAATTAGTGCAGGCCCGAGCACTTATGTCCTTATCTGCTTGAATCAGCTCATGCGGCACTCACTTGAACTTGTACTTCAAGTTTACGCGATGCATAGCGCGATTAATGCACATGGCACTAACTTCTAACTCCTTAGCAAGCTCTCGAGTGGTTGCATATACTGGTCTTCTGCCACAAGTTCTCGCAGCCGGACCTCAAGATCAGTAAGCCGGCCAGAGCGCTCTGCTCCTTGAATATCATAGTCCTTGTTTTTGAACTTTCGATACCAAACCTTCACTGTCTCATATGATACAACATTAGTACGTAAAGCTGTGTATATGATTTGGTGACATTCTGTAGCTGACTTTTTCCAAGAGAACTGGAAGTAAATGATGGTTCTTGTCTGGAAGCGTGGTAGTTTCATTTCAGACACCTTGTACACATAACGATATTTTTTTACAATCTCCACAACACAGTGTTCTAAAGGAAGTCTCTGTCTTTCAAATGCTGAAAAACGTTTGACAAAATATGATTAAACACGCCAACGCGAACTGTTTGCGCAGACGATATTTGCGGTGGCGGGAAACTTTCGTGAAAACACTATAGCATCTATCCTGGGAAACGTGCTTCGAAAACAGCAAAATAAAATTATATTCTACTTTTGTCGAAGCACATAAACGGCACTGAACGTGTTACGATAGGTCCAAAGAGAGAATGCTGTTTCGAAAGTTCTGTTGTTAAGCATGTACTTTGCAAGAATTTTCTAGGTTGCAAATTGGAATGAATCAAGTACTGGTTTGTTTTGATGAATTATATGCTTACTGCTTTCTGTATGTCTCTTTTTATTTAATCTGGTACGTATTTAATGAAACAAAAATTCATTTCATGGAGCTTTGCAAATTATTAGGTTGTCATTATTATGCCTAGTTAAATTCCACGTCAATATTTATACTAGGTGTGATTGCCGTTCCCGCTTTATTAATTGAAAAATTTTCTTTCTTAAATGCCATATAATAGCGATATCATATACTGTCGGCTGCTTTAGAGTGATTTTGCCTCTGTTAATATCTATATATCACTTAATTCTTCAACATATTTCTGATTTAGTCTGGAGACTCAAGTAGTTTAACTCAGTTGCCTATCCATGCACAAATCTTTAACATGCTTTTCCATTCGAGAATCCAGAGAGACAATTAAAACCTCATAAGATTAATTATAAACCTCATTATAGGATTCCCAATCATTACTGTTTGTCAAGGAAATGGCTGCAGTTTTTCTTGCAAATATCACGCCTGAGTTTGGCTTTTTCCACTAAGCATCAGCTTAGTCGAAAAGCTTTTCTAAGATACAATTTTTTCCCTAAGATACAATAAAATACAACATTAACATTTTGTTTGTTCTTAGATGATGTTGATACCTTTGTTGGGAAGCCTTGCAGTTGCTGCTGTAAAGGTACCTATAACGAACTTCAACACTTTCGTTTCGATTGGCTAATTCTAGGACTTTTAGCAAGTGATTCTCTCAAATCAAGTCCACCGATCGCTTAAATGTATAAATGCCGTAACATAGATAAATCTATACCACTTCAATCATTCACTGTTAAGCTTTATAGATCAGAATATTGAATAGTTGTGTCTAAATTAAGTTATTACTTACAGACTATTATACCAGAAATTATCATGTATCACAAAATGTCTTTGTTCAGTCTAATTGCCAATAAGTTTGAAAATTTTTATAATTTTTTTTTTAATTTTTAGAATGTTAAATGTAATAGCACTTGCTTAGTTTGTGTAAAATAATTTTCCTCCTACTCTAGGTTACCATGCTACTGGTGGTTATCTAACTGTAAGTACACCCCCTCATGCAACTCCTTTGGCAAAAAGTTACGTAGAAGCAGGTCTTGCTATTGGATATCCTAACATTGATATCAACGGTGAAAAGCAGGGAGGTTAGTTTAGATTTTAATTAATAGAACTTTAAATAAGTTGTGTATATGTTTATATTCAGGTCTTGAAAACAACTAATAAATATCCTAATTTTTCAGTTAGCAGTAGAAACACTGGTAGACCTAAATTATGTATGTCATTAGTACATCCACAATCCTTTTGTGCCGTATAGTTACTGAAATGTGCAGAATTAATGCCCAGATTTATCGATAAGTTTGGCTTCAAATGTAGTTGTTTCGTAAATCTTTTTAAAATAGTCAATTTAAAAACCTTAGATCGTGCATTAATATAATTTCACTCTCGTAAAAGATAGAAAATAAAGACTATTAAATTTTTACGATTATAAGTTTAGTCATATATGCGGAAATTAGTAAAACATTTCACTATAGTTTAGGCAGTGAATGTGTGAACAAATAAAAACCTGAAGAAACATCGATACATTTGCATAAAATTTTATATTTATCTCTTTAAAGCATTGTTAAGTTTGTACTTCGATTTTAATTAAACTCAAGAACCAGTTTCCTCCTCTGTTCAGTAATGTGGAAGGTATTAATAATGAGCAACATACAAGTAAATAGGATTAACGTAAGTAAATATGCAGAACTATTTATTGTAGAGACATTAGGGTTTTATGAAGTAGGAGATGTGAAAAACGAGGAATGCCCTCGCCGGGACCTCTCGAATCCGCGCCTAGTGTGCTACCATTACAACACAAAGGGATGATAGAAGAAGGGAGCAACTACCTTATAATATATATTATAATATGCAATGAAGATTCTTTTGTACAGGTAAAGGCAGGAAGGAAGTAAAATGCTGGATTTGAAACTCGGGTAGCTGTTGCTTTAGCTTTCTATAAATGTCGTCAGTGAATTGTCAGTCCGATGTTACGAGGTTTCTAGAATATTTTCTTTTTCATTTTATATATTACTTTACATTTTGTCTCGAGAACTGTGATATTATGCCCTACTTTGTTCGGTATTTCCTTATATATAATTGTTTTAAAGATTTATTCTCTTATAGCAGACAGATCAACATACAAAGCACTTTCCTATATTATGTCGTCTAGAGGGTATAATTTGCATAGTTTCCTTAACTTTTATTAGAACCACAACACGAAGACGGCAGTTAATCATTCACTTGCTAAACTCACAATACTTATTTCCCCTCAGCATTATTTGTTACGGGCCGACACGTCCACACTCTGTATTACACAAGACATGCATGTCACCTTTCAGATACATGCCCCAGCATACAGGATTTCGTATAGATACCTCATATTTGCCAATCAATGACTTCAAATACTGTAGATGCATCCTCCGATTTATGTGCACTGTTTTCTTAAAATAAATACATATCTATTTTTAACTGACATTTCTATTTCTGAGCCAATTAATTTCTCAGTTTTTATATTCATATTAGGAACGAAAATATTTAATATTCTGTGCAACTAATAATTTAAGGTTCGGGTGAATCCAAATGCCAGATTTTATTATGTTGTATATGTTTGATGACTTCAAGAAAGATTGGTGCTGATTATCACGGAGAACCTGGTGGCTTTCTTTACAAGCCAGAAATTTATATTTTGAATTAAGAAATTATTCTACAACATTTATTTGACATTATTGTAAATATCTAGACTGATTTGGATAATTATAGCAGCTAAAATCTGTATTTATTATTTCACATTTCGTACTTAATTTCAATTTTTTATTCCAATAGTTAGGCCGCCTTGAATGAATTAAATTACTTTTATAAAGTAATATAAATTATATTGTGCACATATGAGTTTTGTCAATTAGTTCTATTCTGACACTTTGTACATTATGATAAAGGAATATATCAGTTATTAGAATAATTATCTGAATTTCTCTACTCAACAATTTTATCATAAAGTCTTTGTCACTCATTTATTCGAATACAAATATCTATTTCAGGATGGATGATTCCTCAAGGCACTATTAGAAGAGGTGCTCGCTGCAGCACTTCAAAAGCTTTTTTGCAGCCTACACGTGGGCGGAAAAATCTGGATATTGTTGTTTTTGCACATGCTACTAAAGTTAGTAAACTGCTTCAAGTGTAAGCAATTTTGTTTATTTTATGATTTAATTGTTACTTTGTATGAACAGGACAGAATGGTTTATTGCATATCGCTTTTCAAAATTGAAAGAAATCAGATGAATTATTTAGTCATGAAACAATTACTAATGTTGCTGCTATTGTTCCTTTTAACACATCTGAGCAGGTCATCTCCAAAATCATGGGGATGGACGTCTTCGTGACTTCTTTAATGATATATGTAATTATCATTTAATGTAACTACAAGTATCATTAATAATAACTACATTTTTCCCAGTTCCATTATAATTTTAAATGAAAACAACTCTTACAAATACTCCTCATACTACCTACAAATACGCTACTCTAATTGTATGTCTGAACAATTACATTATGCAAATATTTAAAAACTTTACAATGTTCAAATGTCTAAATATACAGTTGTATGCAAACTTTTGTGCTATCCACCATGATTTTGGATTCAAAAGGGCATTCAAAATGAGCTCTCAGTCGACCTTGCTCTACGGACATCATGCAAATATACTGCTAGACAGTTGCTAAGGACCGATCTGAAATTGCATTGAAGTACAACATTAAACGGGGTTGAGGTTAAGCAGGATTAAATATTGTTGCCACATTATTTGGACAATTAACGAAAATAGAGAAATATTGTTCAGGAAAATACAGAACGTTTTGAAACATCCAAAGGTAAAAAGAAAAGTGTTCTTTTGAATCTGCGTATGGAAAAATGGGAAAATTCATATGAATGACAACAGGCATCTTTGAGAAAGATGTTAATACGGAGTATGTCCCCCGAGGAGTGCGATGCAATTTTCCATGCATTGTAGCATACTTTGCATAACATTATCCAGCAACTCAACCAGGCAGTTGATCCTACTCCTCTGCTAGTACACGAATAAGAGTGTCCTTGTTCGTTGGAGGATATTTGGATCATCTTGTCGCCTTTCTAGAGCATCCCAGACGTTTTCGATGGGATTTAGATCTTAACAATTTGCTGACCCTAAGAGGTGTTGAACATTTGCGCTGTTTAGACAATCATGAGCAGCGATTGTTCAATGACAGTGCGTTGTTGTGCAAATACACTATTGGATGCACATGCAAATACAGCAATGTATTTTCATGAAATTTTATCACAAAAAACACCAAGGAGAACATTAGGCAGTAAAACTGCATCAGTCTACTGTTTAGCTGGTCATAGTCCCCATTGCAAGCATATACAAGAGCGTATGGCCACTGATCATGACGGCAGCCCATATCATGGCACTGCATCTTGGATATCGGTCCATTTCCTAGATATTTTCTGAATGATAAGCAGTATCACACCAGATCAGTTAGCGTCTGTAAACCGATAACAGATGAACCTATTCCTGTCTGAGAATATTACTCAAGCCCAGTCCTGTTTAGTCCAATTGCGATTCTCCCGACAGTATAGCAGACGAACGGTACAGTGCTATCTGAACGGCGGACACACACAACAGATCCACGGATGTATATTCTTCCTTTTCTCAAATGTCTGGCTACAGTTTTTCGCAAGATCCGCTGTACTATGTAGATACGCCTGTATGTTTTTGCAGATAGGGAAATGTACCTGTCTCCTGAGGGCATCGTACATCTAACACGACCTCACCCTTGATACTGCCTGCATGTTTCATTTGTTTTAAATGCATGCTTCCCACAGCCGTTAAACAACGCTGTGGGCGATGTTGAACTCCTTGCGAAGAAACGCAAATTTGTGTACGCACTCCTCTTACTTTACTCTGCACGTATTCCAATTTTTCACACTTTGCTTCCTTTCATTTTATGCTTATTATGGAAGATAGCTCTGTTCATTCTTAGCAAATGACCAGCAGTGCAGTAGAACTATGAAGCAAATTTGGCAGCGTTTTGAAAATTATCTTATTTTACAAGAGCGAGAATATCTCGAAAATTAAATTCTCTTATTTTAAAGAGACTAGAAAATTTCGTAAGCTGAATACTGTAAATTATACAAACCAGTTTAAAAAAAATTATAAAATTTAAATTTTGTCTCGGATGGCTAGTGCTTGTTATTAAAAATGTTTTGTCACAAAATTATCTTCCGAAATTCTTCCTTTTCAAGAGTGCTTTTTTAAAACCAACCAATGCTTTTCATGACTGAATATTTATTTTGTCATGTTCGTTGCTTTTTTTCCTGTTTTTGTTTTTATTTTCAAGGAGAAATTTTCTTTCCCAGTGTTATGGAAAATGGAAATTATATGAAAATTAAAAATGCTTTAGGAAATAATTAGACTTAATACAGTAATCATAATGTTAAAGAAAGAAATTGCTATTTAGGAAGTAAAATGGTTAAAAGTTTTTATATAATACACAGTGCCCTCCGTTAAGGAACAGCATGATTTTTATCTCTAATTTGAGAATGAAGCAACATAAAACAACTCGAAATTTAGCAGACGTGTTCACTAAACCGTTCTTTATTGAATGCCATGTAGAATGTTTCAAAAGCTCAACACAAACATGAATTACAACTAAAAATTGCACTCTTGGCAGAGAAATCCAGTCTTGGAGAAATAGTACATCAGTTTTATGAGTAAACATGTGGTGTTAACATTACAAAAATAGATTCTGGTAAGGAATATGTCTACCTCTAGCTGCAATACATTGGCGGCTGCGATGTTCCATGCTGACAATTTAGTTCTTGGATAGTGAACTGGTAAGCAACGACCAGACAGGGTTGTTCAAGCTCAGATAAGGACCTTGGAGGAGGACTTAAATCAGCAACCTGTCTCCCAAGGTAGTCCAAAAGATGCTTTATTGAATTCAGGTCTGGGGATCGAGCTGGTCATTCTATTCGCTCCATACCGTAACCTTCAAGATATTCTTCAAGCAACTCGAGGTCGGTGCTGTCGCACATTGTTGCCCATCAGAGGAAATCCAAGACCAATAGCAGCGATATAGGGGCGGGAATATCAATCAAGGATCTCATCTCAATACTTCACTTTGGTTAAAGTTTCTCCATGGAACACATCCAGGTCAGTATGACCACAGAGAGAGATCCCAGCCCAAACCATTATTCCAACACCTTGGTAACTGTGCGATTGGTTGTATCTGGTAAGTTGTTCCTTCAGATCAGCAGCTGCGATTCTTGTTTATGTTGCGACTAAATGGTATGCCATGAACTGAGGCACAGCTATGTTACACCTCCTTCGGGCCGAAAGAACTTAAAAATGGTCTTCTGCAGGTATTGTAACTCAAGGTCTGCCTGAAACATGTCCTCTAGGCACAGAATCCTCGGATTCAAACTGATTCCATAGTCGGCGCACCACATTACGAGAGACATTGAAATGCTTAGCAGCATCAGCTTGTGACTCCCCATCCCCATTTCCATCCATCCGATCGCCCGCCACCTAAACGAATCGAGCAAACGACTTAAATCAGCAACCTGAGAGCAACAACCTGAGACATTGAGACCTGAGAGCAGCAACAACCTGAGACATTGAGAGACTCTCCTGGATATTGTCCACGAAACTATACTAACAACTGAAGATCAACACTCCTAAACAGAAGTTACAATTTTTGGATTTTGTCTCCGACTTTTATACAAGTATTCATTTCTGTAAAATAAAAGTGGTAGCTATTGTTTTGCATATATTTTGTTAAATTTCGCTATTGTCATGCATATGAACTGTGAATTCAAATGTTACTGACATTTTTATAATGGTGAGCTTTGAAAACATGCTGTTCCTTAACTTTTAGAGGGCAGTGTATTTATACTGTATTTTAAGTTTGTCTTATACTGAATTTTATCTGTTAATGAAGATTCACTTTGATCGTTACAAACGTGCTCGAGCTGTAGAGTTTGACCGGCTTCGAATTACTCATGTTGTCAGTGTTCGTAGGGAAATCATTTTATCAGCCGGAGCAATAAACACACCACAGTTGCTTATGTTATCAGGTGTAGGCCCACGGCATCATCTACAGGAACTTGGGGTAAGTAAAATACATTCTTAAATTTATTTTAATACTGTTAAAAGTATAGTTATTCATAAATTTATTTTAATACTGTTAAAAGTATAGTTATTCATAAATTTATTTTAATACTGTTAAAAGTATAGTTGTTCATAAATTTATTTATAAAATTATTTTTTTTCTTAGTCTTACCACTTGTTCATATCTATAAACCATAATCTAAAAAAAGTTACTTTTCAGATTGTGTCTTTATTTCTTGTAGCAGAAATTTAACGATTACGAAGTTAAAGTAATAAATTATATTAAAGAAAAGACAAAATATGTTTATTTGTATTCAAACTCTGAAAAGCAAAAGTGAATAGTTTACATTCTGTTCATACAGCTTCTGAAGCGTAATTGTTCAACAGTACTTTAACGGTAAATTACTTTAACAGTTCAATAGTAAATTTAGATGCAATCGAATTTTAAATAATTCATAAATCGGTAAAATTCAGCATTATTTTAGAACTGACTTCGCCAAATTTAAAATTTTTTAACTTAAAATTTGAACCTAAAATGCCAAAATTGTTTTGTTGCCTCTGAAAAAAGGAAAATGTTCTATGAATCTGCCAAAATATTTCGATATGTTTAAAGAGGGATACATATTGATTTTGTGATTATATAGAAATGTTGGAAAGCTGGTTGCGTAGATATTGAACCATAATAACAGCAAAAATTTCGTTTGCGTAAGCTGAAATGTTGATCCATAATGAATAGGAAACTTGCAGCCGAAGAAGACTAAATATTCATCTTTATTTCAATTGACATATGCGGCCACTCTAATCTTGCATAAGAACGTTTATACTTTTGACACTGTTGTGATGGGAAGAGAGCAGCAGATCAGCATCTTAACGGCAAGAGAGATAAAAGCAAAAGTGCGAAGTTATCCAGTATGGAAGCCTATTAAGAGAAAGTTTTGATTCAATTTCTGAATTTACTACTTCATCAGCGTTATACAAATTATGATATGGCCTGATCTAGAAATAACGCAATTCAGAAAAGGCGTTATTAGTTTTAGAGAATGCAGAGGAGGAATTAAGGGGATTTTTTTAGTTTAAATTTTAATTTTGAGGTTAACATATTTATCTTACATGCATGTATCCCTCTATGTAGATAATATCGGTATTCTTGTCAAAAAGAAAAGTGGTTCATAGATAATATTGCCATAATCATATAAATTAAGTACGTATATTTTCATATAAATAAGACTTTCATGCAGTAGTCTTCATACTATGAACATACAGAATATTTGATGAATGGAATGCGTTTCCTCCCTGATGATATATCAGAATATCTGAAAATTCCCTGGACAGGTAAAGAATGGGTTGTGAATGATGTGGATTACCAGCTTTCACTGATGAAAGGCCAATTTTGTGGAGCTGTCTTTGTTAATTAACCCCTTTTTTCATATTTAAAAAGAATGTATTAATAACCGAATCACTTAAGAAATATATATTTCAGGAAGACTGTGGAAAATGATATCTAAAATATATTTCAAAGAGATGCCGTGTGGAGAAAGAGATGAAAAAATGAAGAATAAGTACATGTAAAATTTGTTTAGAAGTTCATTGACTCTAAATTCTAGATTCTTTTAAATCAGATGTTACAAGTATAAAAATATCAAAGTATTAACGAGGCATTAATACTTGTTTTTTTATTTTGCTTCAGATTCCCGTGGTTAGTGATTTGCCTGTTGGATATAATCTGCAAGATCACATATATCCAGGCGGAATGCATGTTCTCATTAATGCTCCTCTTTCTATTGTACAGCCTCGCATTATCAACTTAATGGATATTAACAACTTCATCCTTTTTGGAAGAGGTAAAAAGTTAATATCTTATTAACTTATTTCAAATTAACACGTTAATTTAAAAACAATTCTGCTTAAAATTTTGTTAAAATGCATAAAAAATAATGCAAATTCACTTTGCGAGAAATTTATTTTAATTAGGAAGGGAGATACGCCATTTCACTAAGTCCATAATTTTTGTAAATATTTATAGTTTTTTATTCTTTATATTTATACATTTTTATACTGTTTATGTTTATTTTTTATTTACTTCGTTGTTGCATTTTGTATGCTACTGTATGTTTATGTAGCGTATTATTTGTAAAATGTTTAACTCGAGTCACTTGATGCTGGAATTGCAGGGATAATTCAAAGCCGGAGTGTACGCAGAATCCCTCTTTGTGCCTTGGGGACTATTTTTTGCCTTTAGATTGGCAGCAGTTGGAAATATGTATCCAACTTGAAAAAACTTGGAGGAAGTTTTCTGAAAAAGTGTTTTGGGAAACTTAAGAGAGATTTTTCTAGAAGGTTCCAGAAGTGATTATTTTTCTCCTTCAGTTCTATGAATGCTAAATTTTAAGTGGCCTAGACCCAGATGATCTGACTTAAGCTGTTACATATTATTAAACTATTGAGCTTGCTGCTAGTGTTTCTTGAGTTGTTCTGTGTGCGATTTTGTGATCTGCGCTATACTTCACTTGTTAGTAACGATTTCGGCCTATTTTGTGTAGCCTTAGATCTAGCGAAAAGTCGGTTTTTCTAGCTTGACGATGCGAAGAACTAGTGATTTTGAATATCCTTCTCATATATTTAGACAGCTGAGAAGGCCTGCTTCGTCAGAATAGAGTTGAAACCGGCAAGATTTCGGACTAGTAAATGAGTGCCTAAGATCGAATTGATCGGAGCCGCTCCTTCCTGTCTTACGGCCCACCAGCGGACGAGCGGTAAAGACGCTGAACACTGGTAGTTCGGTCCGAGGTTCAAATCCCGCGAACGGGCTGGCTGCATGGACGTTTTCGTGGTTTTCCCCATGTGTAACATGTATATGAGCCAGTTTCCCTTAGAAAGTTCTCCACGAAGGCATCCCTCCCTTTAGGCAGATACCTTCGTGTGCTTTGCCATAGCTGAATAATCCTAATCCTTCCTCTCTTACATAGTATTCAGCCAAAAAGTGTGTAGTTACTCATTTAAAAAAACAGGATTATCTTATTAAAATCATTGCCCATTATCTTTAGCAATTATTAGCCATTTATATTATCTGTAACAACTGTTATTCGTTTTAAATGAATAACATTTCTCCAGACCCCTAGCATGGATCAGTATATAACGCAACCGAATTAATAATAACTATTAAGCGTTACATAGCATAAGATTATGTAGTGTATAAAAGAGGATTCTGGAATATATTTTGGTAATGCAACGAATAGTACTACTGAAATATCATGTGAGTGACTGAATTTGACAGACAGTGAAAATTAATCACTGTTCTGATTTAAAGTGAAAGTTTAGTGCATTATGAATGTCGCATTCTCTAATACAGCTTCAAGCCACTTTTTTATGATAATACAGCATTTAATTTGTCGCTTATTTTCCTACCTGTGTGCAGAGCTCAGGATTTAGAAACCTTTGGTTTATTTGTATAATTTTCAAGTTCCTCTCGTACTCCGTTCATAATGAACACCTTCAGAACGAAGCTACAAGTTTATGATGTTTGCTTTATCCCATCGTCTGCAGAGCAGTAAGTCGCTGAACACTGGTAGTTTAACTTGATTTCGGATCCAGGCAAACAGGCTGGCTTCATGGGAGTTTTTGAGATTTTTTTCCATGTGCAGGGTGGGATACGAACCAGTTTCCCTTAACAAGTCCTCCACGAAGGTATCCCTTAGGCAGATAGCCCTAATTTGCTTTGGCATATTCAAATATTTTTTTTCCAGTAGTGGGCCGTCAGCCGACTTCGGCTTAACCACTACTAAGGCCAGAAGTGGTGGTCACTTGATTTTGGAGGCACCTAATAGGTGGGCCACCTTTGCCTCGTAGGAAAGGATGGACAGTTACAGCCATGTCTTCTCCGGAATACCAAATGTAGTTTACTCGTTGGAAACTACAGCAAAAATACTTCTGCAACAGTGCTGAGGGAGTTCTCCAACAGTGAGATATATATTTCATTAAAAATTTGTATATCTATTCATATGTGATTTTTTAGTGTATTAAATATTTTCCTTAATCTTTCTTCCAAGATTAAACCAAGGAACCTTTGGGAATGTTTTTAAAATCATAGTAAAAGGCATAACAAATAAATACCAAATTGAATTATTAAGTTACAAGATTCATTAATAGTTTTATATCGGTTTGCATTACTTAAACACATTGATAAATTAATCTTAAATTTCCTCTATTTTGAAATCAGTTACATTCTCTTTTTTAGAGTTATTGTTTGTCTTTATAAAATATGTGTCATAGTTGCGAGAATAAACATAGACGGGTTAGGTTTTTAAAAATACATATTTCATGCACATATGCTTCTGTGTTTTAACATTAGATCACAGTTAAATAGGACATTTAAACAAACGGACATAATTTCTTAGATAGGTTAGGTTTCTAGTAATACACATTTCGTGTACATATGCTTCCGTATTTTAACACTAGTTCACAATTAAATAGGTAGTAGAATATTTAAATAAGATCATAATTAAATAGACAGAATTTTTACGTTAGACCACATTTAAACAAATTTGCGTACTTTATGTATACCATTTTGCATACGAATGAATTATCTGCACCAGAGTACTTTTCATATGTATGTCGGTGACAAACAACACGTCATTCACTATTGTTTAAGCAAATTGTGCTGGCAATAAAGCCTACATATTTTCTCAAGAACTTTGAATTAACATTAAAATTGTTTCCGTATTCCGCTTTATCTGAAAATAGATGATAATTACTAAATTTATCCTACGTATCAATATGAGGCATAATGCTAAATCACTCATAAGATGTTTTAAAAGTATCTTAGGTGATATAAAATGCATTCCTTTTGTTATCCATTTCCTTGAGGTACAGCAATATAAACTGTTATTTCTGTTCTACATAGAATCATACATGAATGTGCTAACCATGCTTAAAATTTGTCAGCTAGAATCAATGCAAAAAGTTCAAATAGCTGTCATTATTCTTTTGAAAAGATATTTGAAATTTTTCAGTAATTTCCACGAAATTGTTTATGAGTTTCGAACATTTCAGTTTTCATTTTTTTCAGTTTCATTTATAGTTTGAGCATTCCCAATAACAATTTATTTAAATATTACATTTTAAATCTTGCATACAGTTTTTTTTACACTTTTATTTATTTTGCTCATTTGTGCGTCTTTAACCTTATTTTGCATGTGATAGCAAAAACGATACATTATAATAAAATTTATAATCTCGTTCATGAACAAATGCATGAAAGTATTTCAGAAACCGTTGGAAAATTGTGCTTGGAAAATGTAAACAAAAAGGTGTAAAGCAAATCAACTCTGTTTCATTTTTCTTTGATTTTTACATGTTTCACATATCATGATAATAATATAGATGAAATCTCCAGTCATAATTAGTCTTTAAAACATCTTTCCAAATTATGAATATATTTTATACTTTGACCTCTGGATTTATTATATTAAGACTTCAAAGTTCCTAAAAAATCTTATTTTACAAATTAATATTCAATTTAAAAGTTAATTGATACAAATGCAGAATATTTATTTGGAAAATTATTGAGTTTGTTGAAATAAATATTATTTCCACGTAAGTTGTGAAATAATTTAACTGTGGCAATATTTAATTCGATAATGCAGGACCGTTTACAACACTGGGTGGAGTAGAGACTTTAGGCTTCATCCATACTAAGTATGCAAATGCTTCTGAAGACTGGCCAGATGTGGAGATTCATTTTGTATCTGGAAGTCCTGTATCAGATGGTGGACAAACATTTCAGAGAGTCATGGGGGTATCCCAAAAGGTGAGGTAATTTTTACCTAACATATTTCCTCGTTTTTATAAAAGGTATCTATTCTTCCTTCGTGTAATGTGTATAAGCAGTTAAAAATTCTTATTAAAATCATATGTGAATAATTTATATTTTACACTTTTTACATAAAAGTAGATTTGAATAACATTTGTTGCCTTTGTGAAAGCTTTAGTTCTTTCTTCTACATTTTTAACAGAATACGAATTAACAAATTTTGAATTTGTGTAATTTAAAGTATGTGTTATATTTCGCATATGAAAGTTAAAGAGCAATTTTAAATTGACTAAAGCCATAAAATATTCCCTTCATGTATTTTTTATTATGATTTAAAATAATTTATATATGGAAGCAATCTGTGTTCTCAAAAATATATGTGGTTTAAAAGGGCTGTATCTTAAATTCTGCTAAAGTGACACTGGTGATAATTTAATGCATTTCTTTGAAATTTTCTGGTAATATTTATGGTACTTGCATCATGTTGTTCACCATTTTGAACAAATAAAAACTGTCACCAAAAAGTGCGATTTCGTGCCAATAATTGATAAACGTGACATCATAAATTCATTCGAGGTTTACGTGAACCTCGTGTGAGTTTCACATACGCCTTGACATTCATAAGAGCTTCACTTTGGTACCCCCCCCCGATCCTCAACAGCCGGTTTAGTTTTTGTAAAGAAATATATAGCTTAATCGCAATGTATCTTTTTTGCATTTTGAAACAAAAGGGGGGAGTTTAAAAATTAGGACCCACCTTCTACAGAATAATGAGAAATAGAGTATTTTAAAAGTTATGGCATTGGTTATACTGGTGTACATACTCTAAACAATGAACGAATATGGGGTTCGGCAAAACAGCCAAATAAAAGACACCGCGAAGCCACACGATACCACTTAAATTCACACAAAAGCAAATTTATGGGGCACTGATTTCATAAAGATGATGAAAATTTTATTGTCATATTAATCGCCATTAGGAATTTAGGATTACTCTGACAAATAACGTGTGTTCGCAATTAGTAAGTTTCTATTCTCATGGGAAAACCCCCACCGTCCTGAAAGCTTTTGACTTTCCAGTCCGCAAAACGTAAGCTGCAACTTTTTTTTTTTTTTTTTTTTTTTTTTTTTTTTTTGAAACCTTTTTGTAACATAGAATTATTTCGTTGAGTTTTAAAATAAATTAAAAAAGACACTCTGTCTTTAATGTCTTTCATTCCGAGATGAGTACACCGCCGAGATGAATGATGTTGGATTTATTGAAGTGGTTTCTCAATTGGTTTGTACAAACATAGCTTTGTGTTATCACTACAGTTAATGAAACACGAAAAATGCCTAATACATAAAATAAGGCTACCTAAATTGAATTAGCCGATTTACTTTTTAATTTAATACAAAATAGTTAATTAAAATAAAGAATGGTGTTCAAAGCACTCCAAAACATCTCCACATTTGAGTCTTATTTATGAAGTTAATAGCGATATTTTTTACTTTTCTCCTAGTGCGGTGTTCAGATACTTTTCCTCCAAACTGCAAGTCTAACACGCTTCTTAAAGCTTTAGATTCTGACCCACTTTCTTTGTTGAAAATGATTGTGATAAATCTCTAGTTCGCTATAGTGCCATTTTAAATGCTTTGTAAAATTAATACCTTTAATTTCAAATTGATTCTTGTTAGCATTACAGGACTTTTTAGAGAAACAGATTGATACTTAAATATTGAAAGGGGGAGTAACTGAACAGAAAAGACTAAGTTACTTCAGAATCGGAAGCCAACAGGTCTCTAATTTCTGATCTGCAAGTTCTGGATCTCCTTTGCTAGTGTTCAATTGCAATTTGAGATACTTTCCAACAGCTAAATTGCTGCCTTTTTATCAGCAGTTGTATCTTTAATAATACTTCGACGTTTTTTCTGTAAAATGTTTCTTTAAAGATGACAAATTTATACTTCATCACGGCTGTAAAATCCAGTTATAACTGCAGTGTTCAAATTGGTATTGACTGCATTTTCTATAACAATAGGATAAGTATCAACAGAAATATCGTTATTTCTCTTTCGCTAAATACTGTGGTAGGCATTACGATCACTATCAGACTTGTATAAAGTTGTAAAGAATTTTCGCCTTTTATTAGGCAGGTTACCATGTTATAATTTTCGCGGGTGAATACATGATTTGGGGTTTGAATCACGACGAAGATATAGTTCTTGTGTTTCGTTTCTAAACAATTCTACAAGTGGCATCTGACTGAAATATCGTGGACGACCTGGTTTCACCACCTGGATCTGGCAACTTCTCAATCGTCCTTTAAGCTGGGAGAACAATATAAGGAATCTGTTCACTGTGTGCTGAGGTGTGGTATATGGCAAGCGGAAGATTCAGAGTTCAAATCTTGAAACAAAGGTGCGGTTTCCAAAAAAATCTAATTAGCTCAACAATCGAATATTCCTATTTTTTTACAGAAGTTCCTCATTTTAGGACTCGTCAATTATCTCCTGAATGGAAAACTCTGTTAATACTAATATAGGTTTATTTATGGCTGTATATACACTGAAGTGACAAAAGTCATGAAATACCTCCTAATATTTTGTCGGTCCTCCTTTTGCCCGGCGAAGTGCAGTAACTCGACGTGGCATGGCTGTAAGTGATCTCCAAGTCGTTGGAAGTCCCCTGCAGGAATATTGAGCCATGCTGCTTCTATAGACGTCCATAATTGTGAAAGTGTTGACGGTGCAGGGTTTTGGGCACGAACTGACCTCTCGATGATGTCCCATAAATGTTCGATGGGATTCATGTCGGGCGATCTAGGTGGCCAGATCATTCGCTGGAATTGTCCAGAATGTTCTTCTAACCAATCGCGAACAATTGTGGCCCGGTGACATGGCGCATTGTCATCCATAAAAATCCCATCGTTGTTTGAGTACGTGAAGTCCATGAATGGCTGTAAGTGATCTCCAAGTAGCTGAAGGTATCCATTTCCAGTCAATGATCGGTTCAGTTGCACCAGAGGACCGAGTCCATGCCATGTAAAAACAGCCCAGACCATTATGGAACCACCACCAGCTTGAACAGTGCCTTGTTGACAACTTGGGTCCATGGCTTCGTGGGGTCTGCGCCACACTCGAACCCTACCATCAGCTCTTACCAACTGAAATCGTGACTCATCTGACCAAGCCACGGTTTTCCATTCGTTTAGGGACCAACCGATATGCTCACGAGCCCACGAGAGTCGCTGCAGGCGATGTCGTGCTGTCAGTAAAGGCACTCGAGTCGGTCTTCTGCTGGCATAGCCCAAGGAAGACAAATTTCGCCGCACTGTCCTATCGGACACGTCCCTCGTACGTCCCACATTGATTTCTGCGGTTATTTGACGCAGTGTTGCTTGTCTGTGAACATTGACAACTCTACGCAGACGTCGCTGGTCTCGGTCGTTAAGTGCAGGTGGTCGGCCACTGCGCTGTCCATGGTGGGATGTTATGCCTGAAATTAGATACTCTCGGCACACTCTTGACACTGTGGATCTCGGAATGTTGAATTCCCTAACGATATCCGAAATGGAATGACCCATGCGTCTAGCTCCAACTACCATTCCGCGTTCAAAGTCTGTTAATTCTCGTCGTGCGGCCATAATCACGTCAAAGCCTCTTCACATGAATAACTTGAACACAAATGAAAGCCCTGCCAAAGCACTTCGTATTTATACATTTTCTACGCGATACTACTGCCATCTGTATATTTGCATATTGCTATCCCATGACTTTTGTCACTTCAGTTGCAGTCGCAGTTGACATATAAGGTTGTCTATGTATAATTACATACATATTGTTGATTTCGTATATCTGTGTGTGATTACGTTATGTATTGACGTTTTATACTGTTGATGTCTTATTTTGCTTTGTATACGTATTATTTTTAAGTATTATTTCATTTTGATTATTATTGTATTATTTTAAGTTGGTTTATTTTCTTTTATAAGAGTATTAACATAGTTCATGGTATATGTTAGTATTTTTATGATACTAGCATTTGTATGTTATAATTTTTTTCTTTGCTCTCTCTAGGCCTAGATTTTATGTTTTTATTATTGAATTCCTTCGACTGTGAGCTATTGACTAACATTTGTAAGCCTCGTGAAACAGGAGGAGTTTTGTATCTGTTTTCTTAATTAAAAAATATATGTATAATCGCAGAATGAATTCTTAACTTCAGGATTTAGTACTTACTTTGAATGGGCTAACTTAGCTGAATGGGTATTTCCCGTGGTTTTCATCGTGAGTAATAGTAATAATCAGCGTAAAATTTGAACAAAAACATCTGTTCTTAAAGCAGATAGCGTTTGGAGTATTTTATTATAATTAGTTAACTCATGTCAAAAATGCTTTATTGAAATCTTAAAGCAATTTCTAAATACAGGATATATTTCAATAACATGCAGTAAAGAACAATAGCTCCACTATCGTCGAAAATATCAACAGAAAATATTCAGCAAACAAAGACCGTAGTCCTAATTATAGGTAAATAGTAGAGGGAGAAAGATTTCCATAAGGTTTAAATCTCAGTCATGCAGTTAATGCTAATCTGAAATATCTCAAAGCGTCTAGTAAGTCTGAAAACTTTAAAAAAAATTGTAATAGAGCCTCAGTTTTAAATGAGTATGTAATATGCATTTTCTGCTTTACAAAGTAACACAACAATATATGTGTGCACATAACACTGTCTGCTTCTGAATGCTTTTGATGTTATGTCTCGAAATATCTCTAATTTTCCCCTTAAAAAAGCAAACAAAAATACTTTTGCGTAAAATTAACAGTAATTTATCAGAAGCCGAAAAGGAATCGTCACATATTAGAACTACTATATCATAATTTTGTAAACAGAAAAATGTGTTTGAAAACAAATAGGTGATTGCGACAGAAAGTAACTTACTGATTTCTCAAACTAATGTAATTCATGGATTTAAAATTACGCTGGAAATACAGGAATTAAAAAAGTGCGGTTATAAGGTATTTTCTCCCTCCTTTCTGAATGCCTTCTTGGTGTAATGGTAGCACACTCGGCACGTATTCCAGAGGTCCCGCAGAGGGCTTAGCTCATTTTTCAGTCGCCAGCATCAAAATAAGCTAACGACTCTACACATTTTGGTTTCTATTGAGATTTGCTTTAGAAAGAAACAAGGAATTTTTCCTAGTTCAACATTATTAACAACATCCTTTCATGCCTGAAATGTTTGAAATTGTTTAAAATTATCATGCTTGTTCCCTTAATAAATGACTGAGACAAAATATGTAGGTTCCATTTCGGAAAATATTCATTGCTGGAGACGTTTGAAAAGAGTTGGCTCATTTATATTGAATCAGCCGATTTTTTTTCCAGAAATGTAATTCAAGATGACACTGCGAATATTCTGTTTTACTTAATTGTGTCTATCGGCAGATAACTGGCATCTGCTATGGTTAGTATTAAATGCATAGTTAATGTCATTAACAAAATCATTTTCTCTTGTTTGAAGTTAACATATTAAAATTCATTTCAATAATATTTGGAATTTCAAACTATAAACTTTATTTTATTTTTTGAAATCTTGAATGTGTTTAAGCAGTTTACATTAATATATATTGAAACTTGTGATGAACTTTGTTTTTTCAGCTATGGGATACATTCTATAAACCTTATGTATTCAGAGATACATTTTCAATGAATCCAGTTTTATTAAGGCCCAAGAGCAAAGGCTTCATCAAACTTCGTTCAAAGGATCCTTACGATCCTCCAATCATAGATCCAAAGTATTTAACTCATCCGCATGACATTATGACAATGGTTGATTGTAAGTATGCTAACTTCAACTTTTTTTTTTTTTTTTTTTTTTTGGAGAAATAACCTATTAGTGATATAAAATCTTTAGAATATGATTAGCAGATGCTGATCACAAGCGAGATTTGCATCTCATGATAATTATAACAGACAAAAATTTTTAATATTTCAAACATTGCTGATATTTATGAAAGATATGCTTGCCTATCTAGCCATGAAAATAGCTATTTCTGCAATGAAAACTCCAGCTATTCAGAAATACGGTGGAAAACTCTTTGATTCATCCTTGCCTGGCTGTGATCAATATCAAAGGTATGGCGATGAATTTCTGGAATGTCTAGCAAGGACATACACTGCAACTTTGTATCATCCGGTTGGGACTTGCAAGATGGGCAGTGTTTGGGATCCGACAACAGTTGTGGATCCCCAACTCAGGTGGGTTGAACATTATTGCATAATAAGAAACAGGAAATCAAAAGAAAATGCATATTTCTACATATAATAAAAGGAAGAGTCTGTCTCTGTGTGTGTGTGTGTCTTTCGTTCATGCTTGCGCGTAAGCTAATAGACTTAGAGTTATGCAGTTTGGTACTAGACGAGAGCCAGTGCACTTCGGAGCCAGTTTTTCAAAATTCGAGTAGGTTATCATATTTTATCTGTTTTCATGAAATCGCATCAAATCGATGGCAAACAGCCATAACGGCACGCAACCATTGTTGCTGATATCAGCACCGCTGCCACTTTGAAAAATGAGGGCTATAATTCTGTACAGTTTTTAAATTTAATGTTTCTCTCGGATACTGGAAGTTTGTTTTATGGCACATTTAAAAGCCAGACGAAGACTGGCCGCACAGCGACTATAGTGTAAAATAAAATAAAATCTGAAAGCTTTCAAATTTTACATTACACCCAAAGGCAATTGTTTTCATTTATACGTACATGTTTCGAGAGCATTTGGGCTAATGCTCCTTTGGCTAAAAATATTTAAAAACAGCATACCTTTAGAATTTCCGGTAGACAGTAACGCTCGTTAATATTTTATTCCGTACAGTGTTGCCGCTACTTGCTTTGAAATCGTTGAGTTTTTTAAATTCGTTAAAAGTTTTACAGAATATGAAATAGATGATAAAACAAATTCGAACTTCCAGTTATCCATATTCGGGAGGAGGACTACGCTATTCAGAATTTAATGGCTCTAGGTACAGTTGTATTCACAGAGCGAGAAACATACATTCAAGCAGATTCTTCATTATTTAATTTCTTTGAATGTAATACAGGACGATAATGTTTGATAACAACAACTGAAAACTGATTCAATGCTTGTAGTAATTTGACGCAAAATGCGGTTTCAAGACTAATAGCCTTTCTGGGCTAATGCCTCTTTGGGTTAATAACTCTTAGTATGTGTGCAAGAAAGGTAACATGTTTTACTAAATCATAAAACGCGAAGTAGTGTGGATACTTTCAATAGCCAATCAATTTCAACCGCATTTTACACTAAAAAGGTGCATAAATAGGGTTTAAGAAATTACTGAAATAAGCATGCAATTTTTGCATTTGTTAAAGAAATAGATGCTATTAATTTGAAGGAAAAACTTAAATATATTGAAGCTGACTGGTTTAAAAATCTCTAATTTATTATTAAAGCTTGAGTTTCGAACAAGCGATACATTCAGTTTTATTTAATGAAAATTGTGCGTAATTTTTCGTAATGACGGTTGAGTGATTTTTAACAGTTCTTATTCTTGTTGCGATCCAATACAATACAAAACATCATCTAATACATATTAGTGTGGATCCTGAAATTTAAATCCAAGATATCATATAAAGAAATATTAAATTTGAATATGTATTTTACACACACTATATTTGGCTTTATTACATTTCTGAGACATTAGGGATCAAGCTAGCATCAATATTAAGGTCCAAATTTAAATTTAAAAAATAAAATTATATATTTTATATGGCTGAATATGAAACTGAGTGTATTTTTCAGGAAATTTTTCATTTTAATCACTTCTAGTCCTTAATTTAAACATGCAAATTTAATCATTATTCATCCAGTTATAAGACAAGTTGCTTGTCAAAATGCTTAATTACAATAAAGAACCATTAATAATTATCCGTTATATTTGGTTGTTTATCAGGAAAATTATTTTCTTTGTTATAAAAGCTTCCCTCCGATTTTTATACCCGTTTCTTTTGATCAGTTAAACTTCTGTCCGATCCTGTTATTTGTGTAAAAGCGTAATTTGTATTTTACATTTTCTGAGATTTACATTTTTGTAGTACAATAAATGATTCCCTATTAGAACGCAGCAGGAAGTAACGGGGTAGGTAAAACATTAATTCGGGAGTTTTAATTTTGTTAATGATAATCCCTTTGGAGAGTTATGTAATGTGCTTAAAAAAGCGTTTGTTTTAGGAATAAAATTCTATTCACAAAGCGGAAAACTAAATTTTAAAAGTCAGTAAATATCTTAAGATATTTTGAAATACATTAGCATCATGAAATTTGAATGTGAAGAAAATTATGAAATATAGTTATCTAACAGATCAAGAGCTTTTCTTAATTAAAATGCTTCAGTGATACTCAATAAGTTTCGCTCTGAGATCCCGATATTTAGTTCTAAAAATATAGCTTACGAAACTTTCATGTAATGCGATTTTTTTCAATGTGCCCATTACTATATTCTAAAATCAATTTCTTATTACGTATTGCCTTTTGATGTCCTTTTTATTTAAAAATAAAAGTTCTGGAATACTTAAATAAATAAGATAATAAATTGGATAATGGTAAAAACCGCTGTCTGATTCCTTTGATTTTAATTATATGTGCATCATTGAATTAAAGGGAAACAAGAAAGCTTTTTAATTTATATTTATTTGGCTTTTCATTTTCTACAGTAAATATAAATTCAAGAATGTCACATTAATTTAGTACACACATTAAACATTTTTTCGAAGTTATCTACTTATTTTTGATTTTTTTTTATATATTGCAGTAAATCTTCTATTTCTACAGTCTTTTGGGCAAGGGTTGAGCTTTTAAGGGATTGAACTTTGGAGGGGGGTCAAATGTTTGTGCAAAGTTGCATTTAGTATGTTTTCGGAGATATAATAACAGACAACATGTCTTTCAGCTTTTGTAAATTTACTGTGCTTTTCTTTATTTCAAGATGTTAAATTCTCTTCTGATATTTATATAAAATAAACAGGTTTCAAATTTGTCGTATTTCCTGTTGTACATAAATTTAATTGACTTTGAAGGGGCAGTTTTTCTGTTATTACGTGGGATAAACTACATACTGTCACAAGTCGGAATTTGAATTGCCTTGGATGTTTTCAATTAGCTTGCTCATTTCGGTACCTATTTTGTGAAGCAACGTATAAAATTCCTATTCTTGAATACCTTATTTTTAAAGTAATTTGTAAAATAATAACATGTTTTACTCTTCTTTTCAAAAGATAAACGTAGTTTTATATATTAGCATGTTTTGAAATTTTTCATAATTGTTATAAGCGATAATAACTTTAAATATGGTTTACGTTCTTTTTTAAAATTACTTGAACGAATGAAAGATGCACCTTTTTTTCGGCTCGTGCACGATGAAATAGGGAAAGGAAAATAGGTTACTATAAACTTCGCCAGGTGAATTATTCTTGACGCTAACTGAAAAAAGTGCGGCAACATAAATTTTTAAAATTCTATAAGATTTTGTTTGTTACAGTGTACTTCATAAATGAAATATATTACACCAGTCAAAGTAGCTCAGTCTGTTTTTTTGCCCTCATAAATTGTACTTTACGAATATATGAAAAGAAGAATAATAAACTTTTAACTATAGTATGATGTTTTTAAAGTTTAGGATCATCATTTAAAAACTTAGATATTTTAGTTTTTTAAAGTTACAAAAAGGTACTTATATTTAATTGTATTCAACTTTAATATATCATGCACAATATTTGTGAATGTATAAAAGCATTTTTTAATAACAGATGTATTTCTAAATGCCAACGCAAATAAAATTTCAATTAGTGGTCATAAAGTGCTTATTTAATTTATTGGTTCACCAGCAGCCGAGCGGTTGCTGAATACTGGTAGTTCGGTTCGAGGTTCGAATCCCGCGAACGGGCTGGCTGCATGGGCGTTTTCGTAATTTTCCCCATGTGTAACGTGTATGAGCCGGTTTCCCTTAGAAAGTCCTCCACGAAGGCATCCCTCCCCTTAGGCATATAACCCTCGAGGCTTTGCCATAATCACACACACACACTATTAATGTATTGTATGAATGATAATTCACAGAACCGAATATTTCCATAGCTATTTGTTACTTATCATCCAGACCTTCAGTTTTTAAGGAAAGTAATTTACATCCGCGAAATAATTGCAGTTTAGACTTTAGTTATAATGCATTATAATAACTTATTAGTTATAATGCATTATAATAACTTATTAGTTATTATGCATTAATAACTTATTAGTTATTATGCATTGCATTATAAAGTGTACTATAAGGTGCAGATTGTACAAAGCCGATATATTTATCTGTATTTAAATTTATCACAGTTTGTCGTTCAGATGAATGAAAAATTTATTATTCTGTTTAAACTATTTTTTTTGATTAGTTTGCACAATTTAATTAATTTGAATTTTTTCTTACAGAGTGAAAGGTACTCATAATCTGAGAGTTGCTGATGCGTCCATAATGCCAGAAATAGTTTCTGGGAATACAAATGCACCTTGTATAATGATAGGAGAAAAAGCTGCAGATATTATTAAAGGGAAGAAAACGGTTTTGAAAAGAAGAAAAAAGAATAATGGCTGAGGCTCTGAAAACAAGTAAGGCAAAATATTAATGGCACATTTCAAGGTCCGTTCAAGTAACTGTGATACACTGTGCTTAATAGAAATGCAGATTATAGTAGATTCTATTCTGTATGCTATGGCTCCTATGAAACTGAAACTTATTTATGTGGGAATGATTAAGATCCCACTTTGCTCAATATCGCGTGATCTGTATTAAACGTGTGACACGCGTTTAGGTCAAAGATGTCTAGAGGTGACTTTCACTTCAGGGATCAGTTGCTTTGACTATTGTGATAGTTATGTAAATATTATATTTGTACATACGTTTGTAAAGTTCATTTTTTATAAATCGTTATCTAGCAAACTATGTGTGCTCTAATAGATAACTACGATTTTAATGTATGTTTTTTTATATATTTATTTAAACACATTCAAATTTTATATTTTCATATAAATTTATAATAAAGCTATAAAATTTCAAATAGTTATGCGCATTTGGGTACCTACCTGTTGGAAGAACTCAAAATAGTGTGAGAACTGTATAATTTTAAAATAAATGTTTTTATAGATGAGTCTTCTGTTTCTTTCAAAATGATGCACATTTGTTTAACTGTACCAAACATACGTTTTACGAGTAGCTCTTAGTTTTTCGAAAAAGGTTATGTCCTTTATTTTTAACCACAAATGAAAAATTTATTAGACAAAATTAATGTAAAACGAATTTTGGGTGCGAGTTAAGAAGTAAATTACGTTTTTTCCTTTATCATACATATCTACACCTAGAAAACTCAGGGTTAAAAATTGCATATATTAACACATATGAAATATTTCATATATTCAAATCTGAACTATACTTCAAAAACTAAGATTTTCGTCAAAGCGCTTGTGTTAGCCATAGGCTGTTGCTATAGTTGCTGCACAAAAATAAATGTTTCCAATTCATTATTACATGTGTGGCTGTACTTGTTAATATATTAACCCTTGCACTAATGACCATTTTGGCTCCACAGAACCAGCCGCTTGAGATGATGTTTCGCGTATTTGGTGAATTTCTTACAGGTGATTTTAAATGATAACACACACAGTTTAGTTATCTAATGGTTCTTTTATGTCTGAAGATAGTTGCGGTCCTGCAACTCTTTCGCCGAATGTAAATGGTATTCTTCCGATTCTGCGCATGTTATCCATTCTGAATTTTCTTCCTCTTCTGAGAAATCACTTGGTTTCACACTCGCTACCTGTTACATTGATTTTTTGCCTTCTTACACCTTTTATTTCATCACTTCTTTCCTTCACTCTATTGTCAAGTAGTTTATGTATAAATTCGTTCTTCATCAACGAAAATCAGTTAAAGTGAAGATGGGTTCCATCCCATCTCCACTTCAACTGATTCCATCATCGAATTCAGAGCTGTCCAGTTTGCACTAATGCATAAGACTTGTATACAACAAAGATTGGCCATTGTTTTATACGCACGTGTTATTGAATACACTGAATGATTGTTGAGTAAAGCGATATTGCCCCAACCAGACCTAAATAAACATCATCAACTCTTGAAGTATCGCGTCAAACCGAGTGGTCATCGAGAGTCACTTCTCGAGTTACGCATCAGATCAAGTAGTGACCGAGAGTTACATCTCGAGTGCGAAGAGTTTGCCCAGCCATATCAAAGTACATTGTGCCATTACATACAGAATATTTTCTAGACAGCGGATTCAAGGCATTCTTTTCTCCCAAAAAGTTTCCGCCGATTTCATGATATGGAATGCTTTCCACGCTCTCTGCTTTATAGTATACAGAGCGAGGCAAAAAAAATATGACGAATTTTGAAATGAAATATACTTTGTTTCAAATAATTTCATTCCAATTACAATCATAAATTCAAAATAAATACTTCAAATTAAATATGTCATTTAAAATTAAATAACTTACATTTATCCAAGCTGCAGCTTTACTAATTAATGTACGCTATTATTGGGATAACATAAAAATTAAGTTCTGAAATTGAAATCATGGAATTTCGTCCTTCTCGGTCTACATACTGACGGAATTGATCTGCGAAACGTTTCTTAGTATGCCAGCTACCTCACATAGAGTCCTTTAGTTTAGATTAAGAAACTTAGTTTATTGATGCACGTTTCGATTTCATGGCAAGAAGTCACAAGACGAAATGTCAAGTCGCTCGATATCTCCATCTCATAAAATTAAATATTTGCACGAACATCCTCAACATTTCCATGGAATCCCTAGTCGTGTGGGCAATTGCCTCGTCCTGTTGAAACAACAGGCCAATCCATTTTATAGCTTTTAGTGAAGTTCTGAAAAAATGAAGCTCTGTATCAATGCAGTATATTTTTCTCTATTCACTTGTTTCTGTTTAATCGATTTACTCCATGGAATACGAGAAGATCACGTTAAATTCTCGCACTTCGTATCATATTGTAATTCTCTGACTGTAGTAAATGCTTATAAAAATTACTGTACGGATTGCATAATTCCCATGGAATTGAAAATGAATTTAAAATAATTTAGTTAACTTTTAACTGTTATAATTTTACTTAATTTTACATAATCATGACAACTTGAAAATCTATAATTTAAATAAGTATAACTGATTTTGATAATTAGTTATAAATTTAATATAAGTCGACAATTCCTATATTAAATGCCTTTAAAGGCAGGGTAAAATTGCTAGGTGCGAAAGTTCAATTTCACTTGATTCACATAAAAAGTATATTTTGCATTTAAAAGTACCAGTTTTTTTATCTTCGAATCCATTTTTGTATAGCCAAAAGTAAACTCTTCTTCAATACGTAACCTAGAACATAATGGGAGTGCAAATTATTTCGCATTTTAAAATTTCACATACGTTCATTAATTCCTTATCTGACGATTTACAGAGTGGTCATCATAAAACGTCCCCAATTATATGAATCCCTGGCGGCCTGTCTGATCAACTAGTCCAAATGAAATTTAAGATGTGTCACTTGAAAGTATGCTATTTTTTATTGAAAATTTTAAATCCTTGTGCACCACATAGTATTACACAAGGCTTAGAGAGGTAAGTAAAAAAGCAAACAAATACAACAACACAACACAAAATAAAATAAACTTACAAATTCACAGATGATACGTAAGAGATAAATTTACAGAAGAAAGAGAAAGCCATTTTATGTTGGACAAATACGTGTAAAGGGGGAGGAAATGTAATATTCACAGAGTTTAACCTAAAAATGAGTTCCTTTCGTCCTTCTTTGGGCTTTGAACAATAGAACAAATGTTCGACATTTTGCACTCCCCCCGAAACTGCATGAACACAAGTCTGAACTAGGTAATCTAAATCTCTTCAGATATGAATTGAATTTACCATGTCTAGTTAGAAATTGAGTAACTTCAAAATTGCAGAAAAAGTGTTTATTATTCAGTCTGTGAGGAATGGAAGGAAAATAAAGTTTAGTCAAACAGGCAGTAGTAGAATTCCTGTATAGTTCATTCCACTCGAGTATTGTATCATCCCTACTTTTTTTCTTGTAAAATGACTTGGGAAGTATCATTGGAGTAATTACTTGAAGATGTGTAGCTTGTTTTGCCAACCAATCAGCCCTTTCATTACCTAGATTGCCAGTGTGGCCACGTACATGAGAAAAGATAACATCAACACCTTTATTATTAAGGTCTTTAAGAAGAGCATGGCAAGTGACAATTAATTTATTATATGAGAAGATATTCCTAAGAGAATATAAGGATGAAAGTGAATCAATGCGAATAAGAAATTTAGCACTTAGCGAACAGTTTTGTGATGATTTAAAGCAATAGAATACTCATGGTTATGTATAAAGTTAAAACATTTCGAAATTTTTGAAGAGCAGAGCCCACTTTTTTTCCTGCACAAATTGATCAACGCATTAAAAAATCATGGCATTCGAACAATACGCGTAGGATGAAAATTTTCGCCCTAAAATATTTGAAAAAAAAAGCATTCTAAAGGACCAGTGGCAACACGAGAGAGGATAGGGAGAAAATTATTGTAGTAACTTTGTTAACAAAAGTGAGGTACATAAAACATAAAATATTGTTGTATTTTCAATTAGTACAGATGATTTCTTAGTTTATTATATTGCCCTATCTACCAATTTATTCTCTTAGGAAACTAAACGTATATAGATAATATAAAGAAACCATATTCATAAAAAATGAGTGTTTTTATTATACTCTTTTTAATAAGTTACAATCCAATAAAACTTTTGTATAAAACAGAAGTCTTTTTATACATTTGGCATTGTTCGTAAATGAGCAATAAATTAAGTAAACTATCTTTCCAATCCGGGTCAGTGGAATCAAAAGAACCTTTAACAGAATCCATGATCCCACATTCTTTGGACGTCTTTTAATTTCGTAAAGGATTTCTTCGTCACCTCTTGATCTTTGTTAAACGACTCATCTTGATCAAATCGGCTGCTTTCTCAGCAATCATTATTACAGGAGCATTGGTGTTTCCGGACACAATAGTTGGCATAATTGATGCATCTACCACTCTTAAACCGCTTACACCTTTAACCCTAGGTAACAAAGTAAGAAATTCTTAAATTATTAACACAAAATTATATTTTACAATTTAATGTTTTAAATTAATAGTTTTAGCTTCAGACCGATTTTCAGAAATATTGATATTTTATAAACTGGCTTAATTAGGCAGATCATCCGTATGAATTTATTAGCTTTCTGGATGCCTCATTATTTATGCTCAATAGTAGTTCTGCTGACTTAATACACTTCACTCTGTTTAATATTACCAACAGAGAGGATGTAAAACAAAACTTCTAAATCCTGAGTTGTACTATGCTGGCAACTGGATCAAGTTTCTATTGTCTTCCCTTCATTTAATTTATACAAAATTTTCTTTGCCTTACATAAAAGGCATTCTGACAATTTCCCAGACGTTATTTTCGCATAGTAAATTACCCACCTTATAAACCATGTTTCAAATTTTAAAAGTGCTTTATTTCAGAAATGCATTTTAGCACTTTCGACAATTTTAAACTTTTTTTCCCATCAATCGATCTAAGCAGGAAAGCTGTGAATAGTGTTTTATTTGAAACATTTTCTAAAAAGTCATTTACATAATTGTATTAAACTGTTAAGGACAACAGCATATTCAGACAGTTAGATAAAAGCAATATATGTAACACATTTAACGTTCATTTAGTGATGAATTGAGGCGGATATTATTCTCTTGTACTATTTTATAGGAAACACAATACCGCGCACTGGTTAGTACTATATTGAGCATTTTTGGATGTATGAAGTGACATCATCTGGGACAGCTCAGGTCATATTTTACTATAAATTTAGTTTAAAGCACTTATCTACCATTCGCGACAATACTACATTCCGAGGAAAAAAATCTTTGAACAACAAGACTTGGGTGTTTTTGATCAGGAAAAGAGCTTTGTCATGCCCAGTCACCTTCTTTGCCAGAGTGCTCACTTTCTGACTTCGATGGACGGTCTTACGAAGGTGATCCAGACAATTCAAACTGCCTAAAATTATGGAATCATGTGCTACAGATTCGGGAACAAACTCAGTCTGGTAATGCTTCCATGATAGCTAGAAACGCTGGATCAGTTTGTTCCCATTAATGTTATTTATAAGGAAACTAATTAATAAATATTCCGCCTCCTCAAGCAGATCAGCCCTGCCAAATATTATCACGAAGATTTTTAGGTAAAGGTTGAAAATATTTTTATTTCTCCTGCTTTTGAATTTTATTAAACTCGTTATATTTTTGTGTGCAAAAACGATTAAGCATTACTTCTTTTTTGAAATGTTCTATTTTTGGAACGCGTTTATAGTTTTGCAATGATAAACGTGGTAGTTTCTCTACTGTGCAAAATACTGCCCGAAAATAAACTTTAATGAAGATTCTGAACAGTTATGCAATATATTTATGGGTTTTTTTGGTCGTACTTGTTTATGAGTATAAATTAAATACGTTAGGTGTGTTTGGCGTGAAATATATTTTAGTTCAGAATCATTATCGCAGCAAAGGATATGTTAAAGAAAATTACAATAAAATTTATATTTATCAAAACCAGTTTCCCTAAAAGTAAAGGCTTCCAATGGGATAAGTTATTCGTGGATCAATTTCCGCGTTTAGAATTTATTGCTTTAATTTTTTTATTAAAATTAATAGAGCAAAATATTAATTTTCGATTTACCAAATGCATTACAACTACTGGAAATAATAAAAACAATACATTTAATAATACAAAAAGAGAAATCGACCGCTGCCTTCTTGACGTTGTGCTGTGCTGCGCTGTGGTTCAGCCATTCCTGCTAACTTTGTCGAATGACGCATCGCGCCACTCGAAATGCAGAGTGATCCTTCGATTTGACCTTTCACTTCTTTTAGTTCGATTGTCTATCCTCACTTAATTGGCTATATACGCTCACACTGAGCGCGTGCTCTATGCGACACACTCATACAATCAAAGTGAGTAGATGGGATAAAAGCCGAATGGAAATTCTGGTCTAAAACTGGAATTTCTTCAGAAGGAGGAGGATTATACATGAAGAAGTTACCCCCACTGTTTCGAAATTTCGCATGAAAATGTTTTTCTTTATACAGATGATTAAATTAATACGGATGTACAGAGGATTAAAGTTTTGTAATCTGTGAATGAATGGTTGGAACTATAAAGCATTGCAAGTGAGTACTCGAAGATTGAAAAAAAAAAAAAAAAGATAAATTTCAATTCCAATGCGTAATTTTCATTCGAATTTAATCCCAGCTGCTCCCTTTCTTTGTGAGCATATATCGCCAGTTGAAGGAGGACAAGCAATCTGTCTAAAAGGAAATGGTGATCAAATTCAAAGATCGTTGAACATTTGGGTCGGAAGAAGCTTTGCAGGATGCACAGCAGTTTCCAAATTGCAATTTCCTTGCAGAGAATGTTCACAACATAAATGTGAAATTTTGTAAAAATGAAACTGTTGACTTTTTCAAAAACAGTGGGGAGATATTGCTTGGCTACATAGAATATATCAAAGTTCTCTCGCTGACAGTAATGAGAAGAAAAGGCTAAAAATTAGTCATTGTTTTCCTCCATGGAACATGTTTATAATAACCTGAATGAGAATACTTGTAATTCCTCTTTCTTCACACAACATTTCAGGTTCCAATTTTAAGTTTCTGGTTGGTTATGATTATCTTCGTGTTCATCAACATTGAAAATCATTTGGCTGCGTGTAAAACTCCGCCGCTTGATCGTAAATATTCATTTGGACGGCTATTCTGTTGGACATGTGCCCTTCACTGTAATATTTCAAATGTACGTTTCGCAAATATTCGATAGCACTAATATATTTAGCATCTGATAATAGTAATATGTAATTGCGATGCAGAACGTAAAATCTGCTATATCGAAGTTTTTGATCTAAATTTCTGCAATTAGAAATTGAAAATTATTATAAATTTATTCTATTATTTCTGCAAATCTGTTAAATAAAAATCCATGTATTTTCAGAAAGACTGTCAAAGAGATTCTGCAATTTCTGGTGATTTCATAGAAAAAGAGGGATAAATCAAGTGTCTTACAAATTTCATTGATTAAAAATATATATATAGTCAGAAGTCCCGTACTATCATAAGATAAAATAAAATCATTTAAAACTAAAAAAATGTATATTTTAAAACTTCTTGTGATTTCAAGCAGCTATACACTTGCAACTTAATGCATTCCTCGGGAATGGCCAATATCCGTAAGTCATTGAGCCGTCCCATCAATGTGAGCGTTGACCAATGACACCACAGAGAACGACTGAACTAAACTCTTAAGAAAGTAGAAGCTCTGTTCCAGTTTTGGATTCATCCATTCTTCTCCTACCATCTCATCTTTTTGATGCTATCAACAGTCTTCTAGAGATGAATTCGGATTTACCGTTTCTTAATACTTCATTCAGAATAGACGCTATACATTTACAAACATCTAAGTCTTCTCCAGCATTCAGATTGGACCAGAGTCGTAGCTAGGGTTTTCATCGCCTAGGGACAACTGAAGATTTCAAGCCCCCTACTGCTTGCCAAGGATGGAAAACATTTAATTCTAAAATGTAGTAACATCAGTTTGGCGCCCCTTGGATTCTGCGCCCGGGGACAGATTCTCTCCCTTGCCCCCCTCTAGCTACGCCCCTGGATTGGACTAAATCATATGGCAGCCAGTAGCACTAACAATTTAACTGATCGGTAAGGGGGCATATTTAAAAAAATAGGTAGTCCTGTAACTGAAACACAGCAAATAAAACCTACCGTAATTTCCGGAAGAAACGCCGCGGCGTTTACGTGTTTAAAACTTAAATTTTCAGCGGGTGCGGCGTTTCTACCCATGCGGCGTTTAGGTGCACTAAAAATAAAATATTTCCTATGAAGGTCATTGTACATAGTTTGGATGGCCTTGTCATTGTGCATAGACTGGTGCTGTTCCCACACAAAAGACCACTCAGTTGCTTTTTGCGAACGTTATTTTGTTTACATTCTTTCCCTTGAACGGACCTACATGCCTTATTCACCCTAAACGAGATCTCAGAACAATAACATTCTTCCCTCTTTCAAATCAACATTCTCATCAGTTTGAATAGTCTCTCTCCTCTGCCATTCGAGGAATCTTCCAGGACCCATCCTCTCCCCACCCCTGCCTTTTCTGCAATTTTTTTCAAAGGCGGACACGACTCCACCTGCCTCGCAATAACGAACTCTGACGTATTTCCACTTCAGCATGAATGGATTTTTCTTGGCATTCTGCCAAATACAGATCCCATCAGTTTGAGTACAAGTACTTGTTGGATAGTTTTTAATTAGGGAACGGAAAATTTTTGAAAATGTCTCTAAACGGCACAGAAGCTATACATTTCTTACCTTTAATTTATTTTTGAGTTATGGTTTCATTTCATGCATTTTTCTTAACTGGTATGTCATATATCAGGACTTAGGTTGAGTTTTTGCATTTATACGGCCCACGACTATGTCACGCGCAATTTAATCTATTGCGGCGTTTACGCTGATGCGGCGTTTCTGTGTAATTTTAATTTTTTTCCCCGCCATTTTTCTCGAGTGCGGCGTTTACGCTGATGCGGCCTTTCTTCCGGAAATTACAGTAATTATAACAATACAATTATACTTTATTTCTCACCTAAGTAATGGATCCACTACTGCAGTTGGGTCCCAAGGGCTACCCATTTTGCACGTACCCACAGGATGATATATCGTAATAGTATAAGTGCGAGCCACGCATTCTAGATATGCATCGCTCCACATGGTATAGAGCTCACATCCAGGAAAGGGAGTGGCAAAAAGTCGAGCTCCCATCTTCAAGAAAGGAGGTTTCAGTCCTAATTTAATGCATACTTTCATACCTAGAAAATTAAATAAAAAATGAATTATTTTAATAGATATGTGATACATTTATGAATAAAATGAAAGATATAAAGCAGAAATATTTACAGAAAAAGCAAGCATGGTACATATTATTGCGCTTAGTAAAGCTTGTGCTTTTTTTTTTTTTTTTTTTTTTTTTACAAGGTTGTAAGGTTTATTATTGATCTGGAAGATGAAGACCCTGCTACACAAGTTAGCAAATCATCGCTACGTTTGAAATATTATGAGAAAGCTTTGAGAATGTTTCAATAATCTTTTATTTTATCTTGAACAAAAAACGCGAATGGCATGACTTGTACTACAGACAAACCATCTCTCGTGGCGATGTAAATTAAGCAAAACAGTCAAATAAATTTTAAAAGTTGATTAATTAGTCAAAGACCGCACATTCAATAAACTAAGCTATAAGCTGGCTCAATATTTTAAAGGCGCGTAAATTTAAAATATCGGCTAGCGAAAAAATACAAAAACCGGAACATTCACTTTTAAGTAGAGCTTGCACAGAATTCTAGCCCTGCAACGCAAGTGCCAGAAACTTTCTCTGTCTCTCTAAAATACAAATCCCTCAGCTCATATACTTTAAAAGCTTATTTGCACTCTGTTGAGGAATATGGAAAGAAGTAATAGTAGAGATCAAACTCATAATAACTGGTTAATTAACATAACATAAGAAACTTACAATGCTGGGACGATCTTGAGCAGAGGAAGTCTGCTAAATCGATCGAATGTTGTTCAAAATCTAAGCAAATAATATAAACTGGCTTTTGTTCTAATTTAAATTAAAACGTTGCGTGTTTCTACTCCAATTAAAATTTACTCAAGGTTCCTGTTAAAAGGCTGCGTTCATATTTTTACTTTTCTGTAGCTGTAAAGGAGGTATTGTAATCGCGAAAAATTTTGGGTATCATCTTTCAACGGAAATATACATCTTGATCTTTCCGAACGCATTTTAACTATTTTGTTGCGTGACGTCTGTATAGATGGAGAGAATAAAAGGACTTTTTCTCAAAACGAATAGTACAATGGATTTAAAATAATTTCAAAATGGATAGCATTCGTGATGTCTGTACGTACGTCCGTAAGTATACATGTACCTCGCATAACTTCAGAACGATCAGGCGTAGAACGTTGGAATTTTGTAATTTTGTTTGGATTCTGTCTTTGTGAATGAATTAGAGATGTGAAGTTCACTCGCGAATTTATTCTAAGAACCGACTGACTTTCCTGAGCAGAATGGCGTATGATAAATAAAGAGCGGTAGCTCTTTCAGAGTTTACTGATAGAGAGCTGTTCTTGGAAGCATGCCAGGAAAGTTCGAGTTTAATTTCAAGGAAGAAAAGAACGTTTATCCTTCCGCAGTAAAAGTGAGTTTAATCTTTATCATTTCTCAAATTTTTTAACATTTTAAATTTTAGAATTTTATTACTAACTTTGTGTTGAAAGGTGGTTTTAGGGAATCTCAAAACTGCGGTTTAAGTTAGCAATTCACTTCAGATGATCTTTCCATTTCTTTCCGCTCTTCGTTCTGTCTTCGTTCATCGCTCTTGATTCACTCCATATTTCCGATCTTTCCATAAGGTTACTTTTAGTGAGCAGTGAGTCGTAGAAAAGAAACAGTTCAGTTCCGTTAGCAAGCACTTCCAATCTGATTTGTTCACCTCTACATTAAAATGGGCTAGCTGAAATTAGTTTTCGTGGTTTTCTTTATTTGTAACTTGAACAGCTAGTTTCTCATGAAATGTCTTCCATGGAAGCCGTTCTACTGAGCTGAAGAACGCTGATTTTTTGAATGACTGAACACCAATCGGTTTCGAGTTTTTTTATATAGAGTAGTGAAAAGGGATCTCTTTAAAACGTGTGAATGTTATGTACATTGTATTTTCTATGTGAAAACAAATCAGTTATTAATACAAAAGAGGTATATCCAGAAAATGGTATAATATATTAAAGGTTTTGTTTTGTTAACACAAAAAATAATCAGATAGTTCACGAAATATCAAAAAATTGCATTCTACCTTCAACAAGAACTTTAATATCCTCTGGTCTACTGAAATAACTGGGGTCGATCTTTGGTGCTACGTACGGATTTGCAGACTGAAGTAGAACTTTGCCTCTGCTCTTAGGCCTAAGTAGAACAGGGTACATTGTAAAAGTATCCCTACCAATGTATGGCACATAGACTTGACTAAAGGACTGCAAAAGATATTGGCTAATGTAAATTAAATTGAGATTTAAACATATGAGACAAAGGTTAATCCATTTTAAGAAAATGTAAAATAACCAATCAAAAATCAGTTAACATCGAACAATTTTTTTATTGCAAAGTATAACTATTTTAATACTTTGCAATAAAAATAAATATTCACTATATTCGTTTGAAAGAAATGATGACAAATAGTAACCATAGACACGAACAGGAATTACCCTAAAAGTGCTTTAATTATTAAAGGGCAACCGAAAATAACGTATTAATTAAAACAAATCTCATAACAACTCCATGCGTATTTATATTAAAAAGTTATATTTATTTAATTATTAAATAAAGTTATTATTAAAATAAAGTTGCATTTGTGAATAATGATTACGAATCAATTTTATCTAATAACGTTCTGCACAAAGACATCCGTTCCCTAAGGCAGTTTTTCCTCTAGCATGCTGTACCATAATAATCAACCGAACCAGTCAGAATCTAGCTGAACATTGATTTCACATTGCACTTAAAATTAAAAAAAAAGGTATTTCGAAATTAAGCTGTAAAAATATTGCATGACAGTTGCTTTTGGGTTCCAAGCTTACAGCAGATCAAAATGTCAACATAAATGGTTTAAAATTGCCCTGATGAGAAATTAGTTATAAAGCTTCACAAGGTACATTTGGACACAACTTGATACACTTCCTGTAAATATGACTAATAATTTAATATTTAAATACAACAAATATTACATTTAGTTTCAGTAACTGATACAATTTAAAGCTGAAAAAAAAAAATAAAACAACGAAAGTTAATTAGAATCTTAATGGTAAAAAGTCTTTGTAGGATTGCGTAAGTCAATAGTTATGTTGTTTTGCAGAAATTCAGCTAGTAGGTTTTAAATACAGTATTTTTTATCAACATTTTTAACTTACTAATTAATTGAATTAAGCAAATAAAAATTTTTGATGTGTCCTCATAACTTTCTACGTGTTAAGAAGCATTTCTTTGATTAAAGAAAAAGAATATAACAAGAGATAACCCGAAGCTATGTTACTTGAAATTATCTTGTTAGCCCTATTTTTAAGATTTATTTGCCTTCACAACAAGCAAAGTACATATGAAAATCTGTATACCAACACTTAAAGTTCAATAAAAAAGACTTTTAATTCTTTTTTCTGCAGCGTACACTTTGAATAAACCTCTTATTTTAAGTAGTATTACAGATAAAAAATTAATATAAAAAATCAAAAAATTATAAGTAATACGAAAATTACATCAGTCTTGTTAAAAATTAGACAAAACTAATTAGTCTAGAATTATGCATAAAATTCAAACATATGAATTTGAAATACGAAGGATGTGGGCAAATTTTAAATACAAGATGCCATCCTTACCTTTGTCACATAGTCGTTAAAGGTACGGTCCTTCAGAAACACGAAATATGAAAACCATATTTTTTGAAGGCACAACTTGTATTGTACAGATAAAAGGATTATTGACATTAATTTAGTAACTTAAAGGGGATGGTGATTTAAACGTTTTAACATACTCATGGTCTTATATAGCCACCACAGGCAACAGAATTCTTGTAGCAATTATTTACATGGAAAGGAGGAGATAAGATGTGTCTCTGCACTGCATTCACAAACAGCCAAGAGATCCCAAGAATACCTTAAAGATTCATATACCACACAGCCTCCAATATTTCAGTGCTGCGTTGTTAGCAGTCTGATATTCCAGTAAGGCATGACAGATTCAAGCGGTAGTAACATGTATTCGCACTCATCATAACAGCGGATATAAAACTTGTACAGATAATGCACCGCGTTTGTCTCGTTGAGCCTTTTACCACTGCTCGCCAAATGAGGAATTGTCAATAATGTTCTGTGCAAACGATAACTCAATCCTTTCGCTTTCTCATAGTTATGTTTTTGGAATGGCTGCAGTAGGAAAAGACGTTTTCTTATAAGGTATTTTCTCCCACCTTCTTAGCATGCCTTCGTGGTGTGGTGGTCTGCACACTGGGCGCGTTTTCCAGAGGTCCGTAGTTCGATTCCCGGCGAAGACGTTGCTCATTTTTAATCTCATCTGATTAAAAAAATACCTAATGACTCTGCATTCTTCTAAAATCATTTTCAAACAATCGCCACCTATAGTCCAAACAGCAGTAAAGATGCCGTACTTTTGCAAACGACGTTTCATCATAAGAATAGACACTTGTTTTAATTTTAAAAAAGTGCGCATAATAAATAACAGCAAAGCATCTTTGAAATATTTATAAGCTGTGTTTCCTTCTTTTCTCTAGCAATTACCAAACTCCACACCTCTTGATGTTGTCAATAAAAGTATTTTTTCTATCTCTTCTCAGCAGAAAGTGAGAAAAAAATGATAAGAAAAATACTACATAAATGAGTGCCAAATGACTTAAATTTGATCACAGAAATAAGGTACATTTAGACAGCTGAAAAAAAAAAAGAATTACCTTTGAATTTAATATCTAAAGCACCAAAGGAAAAAAGAATGGTGTCAACAGCTTAAGTTTTTTTTTTAATGATATATTGATAGCTTCATATTAACTCAGATTTAGTGTACGAATTTAAATTTGCTATTAAACTAAGATTTAGGAAAATAATTTAGATTAGTAAGGGCCTATAATATTTTGAATAAATTTTATGCCCATATTTCAGTGAGTGAATTTAATAGCTATTTCACCGTTAATTTCAGTCATTTAGTTAAATTTATTCCATAAAAAAGATAATAAACAGCTTACTTGATCGTTAAGTCCCATAACTCTGCGAATTGATTTTCCAGCATCCGATGATGGAGAACTTGAAATGAAATGAATCTCAATATCTGGCCAATCGTCAGACCGATTGGCGAATGGAGTATTGACAAAAGCAATACCTTCGCAACCACCAAGTATTGTTAATGCACCTGTGGAATAAATTCGCAGCTCATATGAAACTTACAGATTTAAAATAGCAGTCTTATTTTAAAATCACAATAATTAAAAATACTTATAGCAATCGTTAATTTAATTTTCAATTGTATCAGTAATTTTTATATATCTCTTAAAAATCTCACCTTAATTTATCAATGACCGATGCGACTGATATTTATACGAGGTGGTTATAATTAAATTAGCTCTATCCAGATCTATGTAGAGCCCGTTCTGGTTGACGCATTTCGTTGAAATTTGATATGTGTGTCATGCATCCATGGGGAACAGAAAATTTAAATAAAGAATAGTAGTTCAGATTTCAACCATCATATGAAAATGTAGCAGATAAAGAACAAGAAACACAAACTGAAAGTACAAAACTTTATTTAATCCAACCATTGTTCAATGTCTGTTCCTTTTCCTCAATCACATGTGCGATGTAGCATGTTCAACAGTAACGCTAATAGTTTCTTAAGCAAAGAGAAATATGGCAGGCTATGAAGAGTCCATATACTTCCTCCATAGATACAATCTTTTATGAATTCTTCCGACCAGAAATCACAGAGATTCAAGTCCGAAGAACAATGAAGGCAGATATTTGGCAACTTTTCGAAATTACCTAATTTTTTTCCATGTGAGCACAAATCGGTGAGCACAAAGTTCCTTCATTTGCATATCAAGTGATTTTCATCTCAAGTGAGCACAAAGTTCTTTCATTTGCGGGCAATATGGGGTGTTACACTATCTCGCATGAAGACAATATTTTTAAACATTCACTTTCTTGTAAAGCAAGAATGACTGTTGCAGAAATTTGTAGTAACAGGCACTGGTGGTATTATATCTTTCATGGTCTTGAGCAGTATTTTCGTTCATTTAGCTAAGTTCCATTTGAAATTTGGTTATAATCTGGTTATAACTGAATATATATATATACACTTTTATCGTCAAAATAAAAAATTTAGTAATAATAAAGACAATTTTAGATTTGTTCTTTTAAGCTAATAAAAAATCAGAAAAATAACTGACATATTATTAAAAGTAATAAAATAATTATCCACATTTCTTTGGGTTTTTTATCTTTGATTGATAAGACCTTGTATTTCAAACAAAAGCAGGAATCAAAATTATTGGAGAAGTTAAACAACAAGAATCAGCGTATCATTTGTAAATTTTGCAGGACTAGTTTTGATGGTTCTGTAGTTAAACCAATGAAACTAGTTCTGCAAAACGTTTACAAATATTACGCTAATTCTTGTTGTTTAACTTCTCTTCAATAACCATTATTGTCACTTGGTAGTTCAAAATACGATGTAAGGAGTGTTTGTCGCCAAGAATTATCAGGATTAGGTTACAATATTGAGATCTGGAAGTTGTTACAGTTTGATTTGCAGGACGATTGCGATGCACTATTATTTTCAAAAACAAGTAGGATTTTCTATCGAAGCATAAACTATTAGCCATATTTGTTACCTTACGGCTGTGCTCTCTTTTCCAAAATCCAGCTGGTGATAAAAAGAAATCTGTATGATCCTGTTAAAGCCATACTAGTTGGAATGGCAAAATTCACTAAAGCCATCCGAAAGACTTACAGAAATCTATGTTTTGTTTCAGTTTTTCCAACATCATATTAGTTCAAAAGAGGGACATTTCGATAAAATGTGTGATTTAAAATAAATATTTTGAAACTGAAATAACTGTTTGAGTTACTGAACTCGATGTTGTGTCCCGTTTCCGATCTCGAATAATGCATGGACACAGGTGACAATTGTATGTTTTCGAGGTGGGGACACTTAAACTCGAATGATAAGGAAGGTCCCCAAGGAAATTAGTGGAAGGGAAAGTTGGAGAACCATTGGATTCCATTTATGGAATATTCTCGATGAAATTCTTAGTGAAGCTTAGGAAGATAGCCATTATGTTTATTTACTTAAATTAAATGACCATGTTCATTCTTATAATAAAGAGCTATGGTGAACCGCATCTATTATTCCTATCAAAAAACTAGTAATGCTTTGTAACTCTAATATTTAGGTCATACAGAAATGAATGACATTATGCTGCCGCAGAGCGGAATACAATTTATTAACAAAACACTGATAGTACATCAGTTAGAAATAATCTCCGCCCATGTCAATACACTTCTACCGTCTGGCTGGGAGGTCTATAGGGTGTTGGTCACCACCTATGGACAATTGCATGCAATGCGGCAGAAGATTCAACGTGTTGGCCCTTGACTGCGTCCTTCATGTTGTCAAGCAAGGCGTAGTCCGAGGTCTTGGTTCGAGGTCCACCCACTTTGCACACACATTTGTCATCCCCAAATCACCATGCACAATCGCCTTCAATGTTCCTTGTGCAAGCCCTGTCTCTTCCTGCATCTTGTTCAACGTTATGCGCCTGTTCGCCATGATCAAATTCGACACGGCTGCCACATTTGCTGCTGTATGCGATGTCGCTGGTCGTCCCGCACTCGCTGACACCTTTGGCTGAGGTCTCCACTCTACTGCTGAACTTGGCTAACCAACGAGATACGGTACGCCTTTAGGGTGCTTTGTTCCCGCACACCGACACCATGAGACGATGGATTTCACTACTCTGTATCCTATCCTTCCATAGGAAACCCTCTGTCCAAGGCTGACCAACACTCACGCCCCCTTGTGTCTATTTCACTTGTTTTCCCTTCGCATAGTGTCGTTGTGAGAGCCATTGTGCCAATCATTTCTTTACGATCCAAGTATTATTAGCCTTAGAAAACTTGCAATCAAATTCAAAGGCACTAGCTATGTTTTAGAAATATGTACTACTAAAAAGAACGATTTTTTGTCTTAGTTGTGGCTGGTCTAGAGTGTAAAATCATGTCTATTTCTTAAAATAATTTTAAAGCCAGAAGTTAGCATAACATCGCGAATCACTGAACAAAACGAAGGCATACACGCTTCACTAAGGCTTCTTTTATTTGAAATTTTTAGAACTTACATAAATGTTTTAAGTTGTTGAAATTATTTTCTCAGAAAGCCCAATGCATAGAAATTTCGATTTGATTGATTGAATATTAGTTTTTCCTCTTTTTTATTTTAATAATATGTTTCCCTCTGTTTATTTTCTTTTATTTCTAAACTGACGCTGCATTCTATCTTAATTTTCCAATTAATATTACCAGTCCTAAGTACGCAACTAACTTCAGATCTCGAATAACGCAGTAATATCTGTGACTATATCTTTTCAGAATGTTGAAACTTGAAGTCCAACGATACGAAAATTCCCTAAGTTCTATGAAGTATAAGTCGGTTGTAAAAGAGAAATAGGGTACAGATAAGCTAAAGCTTTTGATTATTTTAAAGCAATATTCTTTTTTCAAAACTAGTGTTTTGTATCAATAAAATAGATCAGTTTTACTTTTCAGTGGATGATTTACTGACGATACTTTATAATGATGAATAAATTATTTTATTATTTCTATCTTCCATATAAATGTTAAATACAGCTCTACAAAATATCTTACATTCTTAAAAAGTCATAATTTTCTCACCTTTGCCAACTGTTATAAACTTGATAAAGTTTTTAACATTAAAAACTCTATTAGGAAGAAGTGAAACAGGGTCATCCATAAGGAAATGAATGCCTGCGGATCCCACATGATCTTGAAGATTTCTACCAACTGGCAGATCAGCCACGATTGGAATCTGCAAGAATTCAAATATTAAAATAGTTTTAAAGAAATTATAAAACAAAGTTTTAAACTCACTAACATTGTTACAAAGAAAGGCAGCAAGATATTAGTAAGTGGTTTTTCATTGAGTCAGCTCGAAATGTATTAAGCACAATGTTAAGTTATTCCCGTTACAGAGATGAAATTCTTCTATTTAATTATAAACATCTTTAATAATTTATATACTACAAAGACAAAATCAATCGACAAGTATCCAGCTTTAGTAGAGGATTTCCTCTTCTTTAAAAGTAAACTCTTTAAACATTCAATATTTTCCAGATATTTGCAGCTCAATCATGGTAAAAATGGGATAATTTCCTCCTTCTTGTTGTTTGCATCTTGACTCTAGAACACATTTTTAACGCTTTCTGAAAAGAAAAATCTGATGTGGACACCACATGACTTCCTTGCACAGCTTTTTAAATTATACTTATTTTTGCAGTTCATTTAAACTTATTTCATCGAATTTTATTAGATATATTTCGCATTCAATCATTTCAGTTCTTACTTCGCGGCAAGGCAAAAATACATAAAAACTCAAACCAACTTCATTAAAAATTGTAAAATACAGCAAACTATAAAACACCAAATAAAGTTAAGAACAGTTAAAAAATTTTTGCAATTAAATTTAGAACTTCTGCGCAAAAACAAGCCATTCGGCCAGAGGGGCAGAAACACAGAGGTTTCGGTGCACAAAACTGAAAGTTTACTTTTGGTTCCACTCGGCAAAAGATACTGAATTTGCTGCAGAAAGGGAATTCACTATTTTGCTACAACTATTGCAGATTAACTAAAAGCATAAAAACCTTAACCGGAACATAAGAAGAATATAATTCAATAGCTTTTAAAGAAAGAAATCCACAATTTACCAACATATAAAGGATAAAAACTGAACTCACCGAGCCGGGGAACAGAATGGGTATATATATTGTTACGAAATGTACAGGCGCGGGTAAGATGGCTTTCCCGCAAAGCAATTTTAGGGTTGCCATAAAATGGCAAGGGAAGGCAAGGTTCCCACATTTGGCGAGAAATCGGACATTTGGAGACAAAATTGGCGATATCCATGGACGGTTGGAGAACCTTCTGAAACGAATTCTTACCGGTTTAGCCCAGAATGTTCCCGAACACAAGCCGAAAGCTATATAAACCCTGCTGGTCCGCAGTCAGTTAGTGTCTCAATGAGTGTGTCTCGTCTAGCAAGTCAATCCCTGCAGAGTCGATCGTGTTGACAGCCGGCAGCGAATGCCGAGTGGGTCGTCGAGTGCGCCGAAGGAGTCTCTTAGTGCATCGTCGAGAGAGCGCGTTAAGCTCCGGGAACAACTGAACCGAAGAGTCGGGAGCTGTGCTCTGTGTGTCGTCGAGTGCATCGCGAGTTTTAGCGTGGAAGAGTCTCGAGAAGTACGTGGAGTTCCGAGAACGACCAAGCAGAGTCGGGAGCTGTACTCCGGAAAGCAGAGTCGGGTGCTTTGCAGGAAGCTGTCTCCACCGTGATAGCCTGATAACCTGAAGGCTGTGTCCCTGATCGTGTCAGCATGTTTATAACAGGTTTGATGAACTATATGTTTATAACAGGTCGATGAACTATATAAACAGCATGTTTATATAGTTCATCGACGACTGTAAAACGTGTTTTGGAGCTGTCCTGACAATACTGACCAATAAAGTGTGTTTCGATACTTCATCAAGTGTCGTCGTTATTCACTCCAAATCTACGAACCCCGTACGAACGTGAAGAAAAAACATAACGTAGCAACTGGTGTCAGAAAAGAAAGAAAAACGCAACAATATATATATATATATATATATATATGGTGCGGCCGATTGCAAACAAAAAGGGAGGTTCACAGCTACATGTTATAATAGTCCCATATACAAAAATGTAAACATTCTGTAGCTACTCGTTTTTGAATTATGCGAGATACGTATGTATATATAGACGTCCCGAAAAAGTCTCCTTTGATTGCATTTCAAATCCATTTTACAATTCATTTTGGGAAAAGTCCTTTATCCTGTCCATATGTACAAATGTCACACATAAACATCGTTCAAATGGATTCGAAAGCCGTCAAAATGAATATTTTCATTGAAATATGGTACCCGAAATTTTTCCTGATTACTACTCCCTTCACTTCGTACAAGGAAGTAAAAGTAGAGATATTTTTCATCTCATTTTATTACTGCAATTATTATCCAGATGTTAGCGACGTGGAAAGGACATACTATAAGCTAATCGATTAAATACGTTACAGCTAATGGATGTGGGTATAATTTGCACATTTTAACGCTCAGTAATGCACATTTTTAAAAGAAAAAAATCATTAATAGAGGTTCTAATAAATATGGCTACCCATAATCTGATTTCTTCAGATTTTTTGGCATCGATTCAAGACTGCGTTATGATATTCTCGATGATGCAGACGTCTTTGGAGCCTACAGATAATCGATTCGACGAATATGTTTAATCTTCATGAGCTTCTTCACTACTCTATTTCGGTGAAGCATATTATCATCATCACAAAAAGAAAAACTTTGTCAATAGCCCAAAAGAATCAGTCAACATGGGGTTTAATAATCTGTTTATAATATAGAATGCTTGAGGTGGGTCCAAGGGCCATTGCTTCCATTTCAGTATATCTACTAATCCTATGTCCCCTCACAGCATCACTCCGACATATCAGAACTTTTCACGTATACTTGATACACTTTAGGCCTTTCACAACAGATTATCTGACATCTGGAATCAGAAAAGATTGCGCCAATTCTCTTTAGAAAACAAGACATTGGCCCAGTGTTACTTTATCGAATTTTTATGGATTCCAAAACAATTCATATATTCTGTATAGTGATTTCTATATTACGCTTCAAAAATTATCAATTATCGAGCTTTTAGTCCTACATTATTTAAATTCTTGAGTCACAGTGTAGTGAAATATGCTTTTTACTGATGTTATTTACAAGTTAGTACCCGTTTAGCAGTGATTCCATCTAGATGTTTTCGCTAAATTTCAATCTTAAATTGGTCTGCTTGTCGAGTCGTATAGTGAAGCTGATTTCTTACAATGCGTCTGAAATATACTCCAGTTATTTAAAAAAAAACTGGAGACAAAAGGGCTTGTGATTCTAAACTTCAAGGCAGCTTTGGTGATTGTGAGACCTTCTTCCAATTTTCCTGTAATCCTTTCACCTACAAAATTATCGAGATAATGTCTTTGAGGTATATCGAGAATTTCATGTTTCTAGATTTCTTTTCTTTCAGATACAGAATTTCTGATAAACGCAGTTCATCGGTAACGCTAACTTCCTTTTCGTGCTTTTGAATTATGGCATGACTTTTAAATGCAATAATTGATAATTTTTATATTCATGTGTTACTACTGGACTAAATTTAATGCAAATTGCAACAAGCTGATTCTTCGAACTCTGGGACAATAATTATGCATAACGATGTTCATTCTTAATTTTGGACGTGTGTGTTCAACTTGACTACTTGCAAAAGTTTTTCTTCCGGGCAATACAATTCATAATTCATGTTTCTCATATCAATGATTAAAAACCTCTTAAGACTGTTAGGTTCGAAGTTTATCTAAATAAGATGGCAGAATACGTTTTTCTACTTTTTTCAACCTGAAACATTAAATGTGATGTAGTATCTCTCGAAAATTCTCAGTAAAGGGTGGGTATTCATCATAATATTCGCCGTATATGAAGCTAGTCCATATGAATAGTACTTGAATCGAAATAAATATACTTCTAATTTGTTTGACATTCTAACGTTAGTGATACTGTGCAAATTTCAGTTACCTAAAATGCAGGTAATTTGAAGTACAGTCAATTACGAAGACAAACTTAAGAAATTTATTTGGTGTTTTAAATAATTAATAGTTTTAAATAATTAAAAATCTGCCTAATTTTAGCTGATATAATTTTCAAGGATAAAAAAATAATATGTAAGTATAAAATACTATGTCAGTTTTCAAGGCATATGATAAGTTTGATTCTAATACTTGTAAATGTTTACTTTAATAGGAAATTTCAGAGGAATTCTTGCAATTTTCATATAAATTTAAATGAAGTCATAGATATATCTTATACATATTCACAGATCTATTTTCACGATAAAATTACTATATTTAGCGTTTTTTGGTATAAAAAAATTAGCTTTTCAAAGTACACTGGTGGGCAAAACGTAAGCAACAATGTAAATTTTAATCAGATAGCCATAAAATTGTAGAAAAGGGGTTCTTGCGTTCAGTACAATGAACACGCAATTCAGTAGAAAGGTCATGCGTATGCAAATGTCAAGAAAAAAAACGTCACAGGCTACGTGAGCGTACGCAAAACGCGTACGGTCGGCGCGCTCAACTCGAGATTACCATAAAAGGAAGGATGGAGATGCAATTAAAGACATTCGCTGCAAGTACAAGGAGTTCTTTCGTGAAATATGGCTAGAAGAAATGATCTGGATGACTTCACACGTGGAAGAATGATCGAAAATCTGGAGTAGGGGCGAAGTGTGACCAGTATAGCTGAAGAGTTCGGAATCAACAAAGTGGCGTTTCGCGCGTTTAGAAAGCCTTCCAAACCATAGGTACAGCTATTAGAAAGGTTGGTGGTGGCCGTCCCAGGAAAACAACTGCAGCAAAATAACCGATATATAGTCCTTGCAGACGAAAAGAGCCCGAAACCAGTCAGGCAAGCGCCACAGTTCAACAACTGTGAACAGCAACGGGCGACAATTGTCGTGGTTTACTGTGTCCAAACACCTTTCACAAAGGTGGCCTATGCGCCTGCCGTCCTGAACGCTGCATCCCTTTGAAAGTTGGCCATCGGCATCACCGTTTACAGTGGTGCAAGGAGCGCAAAAACTGGGCATCTCATCAATGGAGTCGTATCCTCCTTACGGATGAGAATCGTTTTAGTGCCACAAGCGATTCTCAACACAAATTGATTTGGAGAGAGGTCGGGACAAGTTTAATCTCAGTAACATTAGGGAAAGAGACCGTTACGGTGTTCTGAAGATCTCGTCTGGAGAGGCATTATGCTGAACGGGCGGACAGAGCTCCACGTTTTCGACAGAAGTTCTGTAACCGGAGATCGCTATCGTCAGGAGGTGATCCTTCCCCATGTGCGTCTGTTCCGAGGTGCCATTGGAGCAGACTTCGTTTTTATGGATGACAATGCACGGCCACACCGGACTCTTGCTGTTCAGAAGCTACTGAAAACTAAAGATATCACTCGAATGGATTGGCCAGTGTCCTCTCCTTATTTAAACCCCATAGAACATGTGTGGATGCTTTGGGGAGACGCTTGTGACACGATTACATCCTCCGGGGAACACCCAGCAACTGAAACAGATGCTGATTGAGGAATGGGCACTCTTACCTCAAGATCTGTTGGACAATCTGGTGCTGAGTATGGAGAGACCGTTCGAAGCAACCATTGCAATAAGGAGAGGGCATATCCCATACTAAGGAACACCTGCTTGGTGTTCTTCCTCTTGTACAGACAATCATGTGTAACGATACTATGAGTTCAATAAAGCCTGTTTTACTTTGATTCCATACTGTATGCATTGTATTAATTTTTAGAGCAATTATGATTTCGTCACCGTTTAAATACAAAATGTTGTCTCTTAATTCAGAATTTCATGTCTCTCAGATGTTTTCTCGTGGAGTTATGCCAAAAAGAACACCTGTTGCTTAAATTTTGCACACCAGTGTATATTTTTAGGAGTTAGGAGTCACGATGCTATATTGTTCCCCAAGCTAAAACTTTGCGCAAAACCTTCATTACATGTAAAAATAAACTATGACTTTTGTAACTGATGTGATCAACCCAGTTCCTTATCAATAGAAAATCTATTGTGATAATATTCTTTTTAAGTTACTGCAACTATAGTCGTACTCAAACGCTGTTAAAATTATTAAACTTAAATTTCTGAGTTAGATAGTGCAGTGTGAAAGTAAAGTGCAGTCTGAAAGTAAAGTGTGAAAGTAAAGTGCAGTCTGTATAAACATAGCATGAAAAGCACTTACACCAAATCTCTGAAGATGTCTCTTGGGTCCAATTCCGGACAACATGAGTAACTGGGCAGAATTAATGGTACCTGCAGATACGATTACTTCTTTCCTTGCCATAACTGTGTACACCTTTTTACCTCGACTGAAAATTATCCCACGTGCACGGTGGTATCTGTCAATAATTATCTATGAAAAAAGAAATTTAAAATTTCATAAAAGAGAATGGCTATACAAAATAAGTGTTTAATATGTATTCAAAATATTCACAGTTCACAAATATCCTGCCTGTTTCCGGAAGTTATTTCACAGTTCATTTTAGATGCTTTACATTTATTTTTCCTCAATGGATTCTTACAAAGGCTAGCTAAGTATCAAAATTTTATACTGCAAGAAATTCACGACAGTGCGAACAAAATTTGAAACAGCAATAAATGTAAAATTATAAAGTGAAATTATATACAGAAATGTTTACATAACACTTACATCACGTTAGATACATATGCTTAACATGATATGTTAAGTATATGTACCTAACGTGATATTCAGAAACAGTATGTATTCATATATATATAAATATATAATCATCCCGAGCATCAAAAAGATTATTTCGTAATTTGAATATCCTTATTTTCCAGTATCAGAGCAATAACTACGTTTCACAAAAGAAAGTTGCTAGTAAAAAAGTTCTTTCCCGTATGTGTTTTTACCTTGCGACAGAGTAGGATGTTCAACTAGCAGATAAGAGATCAAGGTCCGAACCCTGGCGAAATCATATTTGATTTATGCGGCGCTAAATTTATTTTGATTTATACAGCGCTTCGAAAAAAATAATTTCCTTTACATGCTAACTCGTCCAACATAAAGCCTCTTCAGATGAAAAAGTAGAGTATTAATACTTCTAAGTGACATTTACTATGATAATGCATTTTGCCACATTTAATCAGATATACGGTTTATAGAATTATTAATAGCACTGCATCTACCCTTATCAGAAATAAATTTTTAGTCCAAAGGGGCTTTGTCCCCGAAGGACTATTGTTTTCGTTTTGCGATTTTGCGTCGAATCACTATAAATGTCCGTTTCGCTTTTAAAACTGTTGCCACCAAATGTTAGAGTCCTGTATTATATTTGAAGAAATTAAGTAATGAAAAATCTGCATAAATGCATGCATATTTCTCACATTTGATTAAACAACGGTACATAGAGCCATCGAATTCTGAATGACGTAATCCTCCAACGAATATGGGCATGTGGAAGACCAAATCTGAAATTTGGAATTTGTCATATTATCGATTTCATATTTTGTAAAACATTAACGAATTTTTGATTAACAAACTGAAGGATTTCAAAGCGAGCAATGGCAACACTCTACGGGGAAAAAAAAACTTTTTATCTCCAGCGCGAGGAACTGTGGTTCGGAAATTCTAAAGATATGCTCATTTTAAAATTATTTTGCGACATTGCTATTGAACTGAATTTTATGCTTTTAGTGGAAAGAACATAATATTTAATAAATAAAGGTAACACACAAAACGTTAAAAAAAAGTCCCTTTGGACGTAAAATTAAAATCTGAAACCTTTCAGATTTTACTTTTTCGTTTTGATCTTATTTTTTTTATCCTATTTTTCTACCACCCAGTTTTTGACTTCTGTGCATCATGGCAAAATGTGTCTCACACAGGCTGCACATATTAGTAAAACACATAGAATAGATCTTCGAGTAAAATAGTCCATTTTTGTGCAGTCGTTTAACCACAGTAAACCACAATGTAATGCGTCATATGCTCGTTTGCCATAATAAACCACAATATTATACATCTTAAGTTTTTTTGCCAGTTTCGTTTTTTACTTGACCATTTTGGAACCCATAAAATATGCACACTATTATATAATGTGAGAAGTAAGCTTAAGATGCTGAAGCTTTATGCGAAACGCCGATATAGTCTTTTTCCAAAGGATACAAAATGATGAAATAGAATTTTTCTTCACAGTCATCAAATGAAATAAACAATAGTAGCATTATTATATAAATTGTTGCACCACCTTACAATCAGTGTTCCACAGCCCGAAACATAGGTGCAAAAACTGCGCAGGATAGGGAACAAAATTCTGTAGCTAGTAGTCATGATTTGAAGAGAAGAAAGAAATGGAGGTTTTAAACAGGCATTCGAGGAAAGAAAATATTCTGTATGAAAACGGATTTTGCGATTTTCCTTTAAAATGTATGCGTTTCTTCAATCATGCAGTTTAAAAAGGAACACTTTTCTATTTTATATTTAGAAATGCATTATATCATTCAATAAATCATTTGTAATCGAAATATTAGAGATGCTCTGGTCAAAACTTTTGTAGGTAATTTTAAATACTTATATTAAAATTTTTATCCTCCTTATGAAACACGCTAAAACAGTTCTTCATATCCTAACTTTTGAAGTACTTTTCGCTTTGTAACAATTTGTTCGTTTCCCTTGCAAAAAATAAAAGCAAAATCATTTAGACAAAATTTTCAAATATACGCATTAAAGTAATTTCTTCTCGTGTAGTATAAGACCTTCATTCTTTAACTGAAAAGCAATACAGAAAGTTTATCTGCCTAATTTTACAAAAAAGAAATACAATCGAAGTTTTCCTTTCACTTATCCTAGGCAGACAAATTTAGACATCAAGTAACTTTAATTATCAAAAGATATTTAATAAATATTTGTATAAAAAATGGTTGTTTTAAAATTTGTCTGAAAAATGGTTGCTTTTCAAATTGTCTGAAAAATGGTTGTTTTCCAATAATTGCTTTACAATGTTTAGTTAAAACATTCTTTTCATGTTAATACTTTCCTGCATCTTCCATTTCTTCTTTCAATTTTCAATAGAATACAAGTTAGTTTTAATTTAAATAACAAACGAAGTTTATAATTTAAAGAGGGTTATGTAGCAATTATCCCTGTAACTACAACGCTCAGAAGCAGCGCTATTCCCTTAACCGACCTTTGGGTTGATAAGTGAATTTTGTATTTATTAGAGCGTAGAATTAGAATCTCCGTTGCTGGAAAGTAGAAGATAAATGACGCATTTTACTGGTTTAAAATTTCAGTTACTGAAATCCATTATTTATGAGTTTGCAATGGGTAATATTTGTTTATTTTTGGTAGTAGTAGATTACATAATTTTAACAAACCTTTGTTACATTTTTGCCTTTTTTTCTATGTTTTTGAAATTTATGTAGATTTGTGATTAGTTATGAAGACGCTAACTAGTCGTAGAAATAAATGTCAACTAAGTAGAATTAGATACTCAATTAGATTTAACCTTAGAGCTCCTTAGAGCTCCTCTGGAGAAAAGATTGAGAACATTTTGAAGCTTCATTTTAATTAAGAGTCACATGTACGACCAACGAAGCAAGACGGAACTGAACCTGCAAACTACAGCTGCAACATTGACATTTGCTTTGGCGAAACCCAATGCACCAACTAATTGTGTTCTTCAGAATGTTCTCGAGGCCGTGAGCAAGGTAAGACATGATTCTAATGCAGCACTGTTGTCATCGGCTACGAAAAAGTACTGAAAGGATTCCCAGTTACACTGACAAGTAAGTTCAATAAGGATTGTAAGTCTAAACGATGAGCAATTTCAGGCAATAAATTGAATCTTGTTGATATGGTTGTGAAATTTTGCGCATTATTTTTTTTTTAATTTGGACTTTGATTTTCGAATGGCGTCGTCTCACTTCCGTTAGTTGTAATGCTGTCACCATTTGCTGCAATCAAAAGTGCGGACATATTTCTTCCTCTGCATAGCCATTTAAATGGAAATTTTAAATTGCATTTGAAGAATAAAAGATTTTGGAGAAATAGAACAGCATTCATTACAAAAATTTCATCGTCGCAATTGCGAATATTGCATAGTCGCAGTAACCGATTATTTTACTTTCTTTTCACACTCAGAAATATTTACCTTTTCAAAACTAGTTACAAAGATCACTAGAAACAAATCATACACTTACTTAAAAAAGTGATTATATTGTTACGCACGAAAAAAAAAATTAATAACTCACTTTAGTAACGAAAGCTTTGATAACGATGTCTAAATTCGGTCTGTTACTGGCAGGTGAAAGGAATGCTTTGGCGGTACTACAGCGGGCACCTCTGCGAATCGTCCCCTGAGGTATGGAAACTCCTACATCGTAATGAAATTTTTCTTAATTCTGAATTTGTTTCAGAAATTATTTCATTAGAATTCATTAGAAGTAATTTATAAATTATCATACATTTTAAGAAAAGAATTATAGCATTTTAGATATTAACAAAATCTTTGTTAAATAAGCAATATTTTCTAATATTTTTGTCATCGAATTACACATTTTAGCATTTTCATAAAATTTCAAAAGGTTCAGTACCTATCCGAAACACCCTAAAGATACTTTTTAATAGTATATGTAAAATAACAGTGCACGCTTTGGAAGCATGTGTGTGTAGTTCTAAGCGGGTATTTAAAAAGAGATTAAAAGACTTACTGCTAAACAGTATATGAAGCAGAATTCTAAGATAAAATACCTAAGAAAACTTGAGACGTTAAAGCGCAAGAGCAGATGTATTGAGAATAAAATATTATTTATAATGCCTTCTTCGTAGTACTGTTAATCTATTATATTACATTTAACCCATTAAAATATATAAAACAGAACTTACTTTCCTAAGACTTATTTTTATCAAAATACTGAATATGAATACTCTGCGTATTTAATATAAAGTAATGCTTATATATTTGTCAATTTTACATCTATTTTTCATAACATGTATATACATATACATACATATATTTTTCATACCTATAATATAAACTATATTATAAGTTTCGCTTATTTTTCCTTCAGATTAGACTTTTTAGAAGCTTCCTTTTTTTTTTTTTTTTTTTTTTTTTTTCCCCACGGAGAATTCTTGCTAATGATGCAATTTATACACCGTGCTTCTAGAAAGCGTGTAAAACACCTATTCAGAGAGACTCACTTCTATTTTTCTAGCGATATAGTTTCCAATTTAAGCACTACAAGCAACTTCTACAGCGTTCAGGACCGTAAACCTTTGGCACAGTTGGACAGAGAAACAGTTTTGCTTATTTGCATTAATGATTATATTGAAGTACTTCATTTTCTTGCTACTAAACGCTACAAAATTATCTTCCTCGGGATCCAATGTTCACATTAAATTTGATGTCGGCAATATCCTAAAACCGTTCATATTACACTGGATGTCAGCAACGTCCTGTTCACATTCTCCTAAGTTTGAAACATAATTTACGTTTTTACGTTGCTCCATTTAATTAGCATCGCTGCAAAATAGCTTGGTTTCACAACGCGTACGCACAAACTGCCCACCTGAATAACCACACGATTTCGTGAACGATGACTGACAGGCCTCGGGCTTCATTCACCGCAATTCATTCACCATACTTATTGATCACAAGTCGTATATATTACGGTCAAAGTAAAAAATCCGATACTTATTAATAATAACCACGTCTTTTGGTTAATGCGATAAGTAATACAAAATAAGCATATTTACCAAAAAATTTTAACAATTACCAAAGGAGTTCGGTCAATGTAATTAATTAAGGATAGTAGATACATATCCCAAACTCTAATTTAACTTTAATGTCATGCGACATCAAGTGCATGAAATTACATAAACTAGCAATTTTATTAGCAATGAAATACTGTCAGTGTAAAAAAAAAACTTTTATAATAATGATTACTGTTTTATAAGACACATTCATAATTTATTGCATCAAATAAATTACATTACACACAAACGATGTAAATTACAACATCACAGATGCAATACCATCACATTTCTAACAAACAGCAAATTGTAAACAAATTACATTACAAAAACAATGTTATTATATTTTAATAAATTATTTATTTGGATAGAAAAAGTGACTGTGAAGTTTGAACTTATAAGGTGCTTTTGAATTTTTATATTGTGTTGATCTGGGTTACCACTGCTTGTACAATCGCACTATTGAAATCTTTGACTTTCTAAATTAGAAATTTAGGAACAGATTATCTTAGACTTATTTCAGTGTCAGGAACTTAATTGATTGAAATAAAAGGTATAAGGTAATTTTCCCCTCCTTCTAGCATGCCTTCATGGTGTAAAAGTCAGCACACTCGGCGTGTATTCGAGAAATAAAAGGTATAAGGTATTTTTCTCTCCTTCGAGCATGTCTTCATGGTGTAAAAGTCAGCACACTCGGCGTGTATTCGAGAGGTTCAAGCGAAGGCATTAGTGATTTTTCACCTTTCCTGCTTGAAAATATTCTAATGACTTTACAAAGCTTCCTTTCGGACAGTAAAAAGATAGCTTTTGTAGAAGTTGGTTTGAATGCTGCGTTTGTTACCTAGCTTGTGGAAGTTTTTATTTTCCTTAGAAATTACAACAGCTATATATCCCGGCTATCAGCCTTACTCCTGCCTAGATCTGGTAATTCTTATCTGAATGGTTTCTCCTAAATTAGTACCTGAAGGTTTTAATTTCGAAAGAAATAACTTTTTTTTCTTATTTGACATTCTTATTTGGTGCCATATAAATAGCAAACTATCGAGCTTTATGAATATTTTCTGAGAGTTCAGTGAGAGAAAAAGACGAGCCTTCCTTGTTTTCTTCCCAATCTTCCATTTCAACATCAGTGAAACGTTTTTCTTTTCATCATCGGTTTTTTTTTCTACATCGGAATTATTTTACTTCTTTTCTAATTTCCCAACACTCCTATTTCTGTTTTTGATTGTATCTCCAACAATCATTACCTTCAAGACTTCATTCGAATCACCAACTTCGCTTCTATATTGTCATCATTCATTGCACTTATATCTTCAGCCTCGCTTGAGCTTACTGTCTGAAGTTGGACATCAATATTAGACTTTCAATACTGCAAGCTATTCTTCATTTGTGATTCCTGACAAAGTATCAACTGACAAGTAGATTCCTAAGCCTACTTTAGATTTACAGCCAAATTTAACTTCATTCGGATTGCGATATATTAATTTATATACTCTGTTTTTTATAAAAAACTGGATGAATTTTACTTCTGCTGATCACTGACTTGTATATTTATTTCAATCCAAGTGGTTAATATCATATCAGTGCCTTTGCCTTTCAACTGAGCCTTGTCGCTGACTACATATGTTGGCTTTCCTTAAACTATTTTTAATTCATTCCATATTCCAAAAACTTCTTCAGTAATGATATTAGGAAATTGGCCATTTTTACTTTGCAAGATACATGGTTCTCCAAATATTGTGAACGCATACAGTAGACGATAAGCAACTCGGATCGCTTTGTTTTTAACACTTTAAATGAATAAACTTCATTAAATGGTTTTGATAAACCATTATAAAGTCTCCACCCGCTTGTGACTGCATATTTTAGATTGCAAGTCAACTTGATACCTCGAATTTAATTTGCTGCTTTTGACAAAAACAACAACAAAACTTTTCTTGGGATGCTTTTTTTTTTGACAAGGTTATAAAGTTTTAAATATGTCATTACAATTTCAACTTTCATCTTCTTATACTTTGTTTACACTCTTCCTTGTTTATGTTTTTCTCACCATGGCTGACTGAAATATGAATCTCATGAATTATTTGAAAATTCTCCAGAAAGGTATAATGAATAATTGGGTCTTTTTCACTTTCAACTGGAAAGAGAAGTTTTTTAACGCAACCAATTCTTACAAAATCGTATTATAATAGCCTTTGATATTCTTCTAGTGATTTGCCACAAGTCTTTTCTTTGATTTCCATATCTTTTGGTTCTATCCATTTGGTTGCGAAAAATATTTTATTCTTTTCTTGAAAACAGCTAATGATTTCTTTCCTATTTTCGGTTTGAGCATGTCCAAATGATCATCAAACGTTGACTTCTAAATCATCACGCATTGTCTTTATAAATACAGTTAAAATTTGTGAAAATTTTAAAACCTTTTTATTCACTCTAACAATTCACATGGAAAAAATATCAAATTTTGATTCTAAGCAGAATTTAGATAATATGAAAGTGTCGAAGGCAAATCATTTGTGAGCGTACTGAAAAATGCTGGCGCCTCCCTTTAAGAAAGAGGGAAAAAATTAATTGATTTTTTTAATAACATCCACTTCATCTGATAATTTCTTAAAATTATTCTTTTTAACAGGTTTATATGGTTATTCTTATTACTAATCGGTTTATTCCATTAACCATAATATATATTTAGATTAGATATCAGATAAAAAATTTAAATATTGCAAAATTATGAAATTTTTATATACTTATTGAAGTTTTGAACTGCGTTTAATGAGAGAGTAACATACTCTTGCGTCTTAACTGCTGCATTTTGGTTATAGTTTTATTTACTGTTTGATTGATTTTAGTTTGCTGGAGTATACAAAATATTTCAGATTCAGAGCGCATGCCGAAATAAAAAGCTAGTCCTTCACTTTGCAGTGAGCTTTTCCTTTTTCTTCTGCAGATGAGACTATTTTAAATCATTTTTAATGTTACATTTTTATTCTATATTATTATGCTTTGTTATTTTGTATTTTATTTTGTTTCTGCACATCTGATTTTTGTATGTTCAGTGCGAGAAATAAATTGTTAACTATACACATAGCATAGAAGTATGTTTTAGATTACATATATGTGACACGTAAATACTTAGAATATAAATTTAGGATAAGATTTGTTTCATTTACAAATGGATTGGATTGGATTATTTAATTATGGCAAAGCACACGAGGGCTATCTGCCTAAAGGGAGGGATGCCTTCGGGGAAGGACTTTCTAAGGGAAACTGGCTCGTATACACGTTACACAAGGGGAAAACCACGAAAACACCCATGCAGCCAGCCCGTTCGCGGGATTCATTTACAAATGAAAAGTTACACTACACATTCAAAAGGTATTTCACCTTTGTTAAAACAAATGATAATATCATAAGAGAAAACGCTTCTCAAATTTGAATCTGATTTGAAGGAAAACAAGATCCAAAAACATTTCAGTAAAGATTCGTACATGTTAGTTGTATTATTGAATTCCAGTTTCAGTTTTTAGAAACTTAAAAAAAGATTTAGGGATACTAAGTTTCACACCAGAAGAACAAAGATTTAAATACAATTCCAACACGCATCAGAAGGAATCCATATTAGCTCCTTGATATGTGGTATTTTCTGTACACGTTTTTACACACATATCTACTGCATTGATTGTTTTAATTAGCTTATTATGCAATTTATTTCTGACTAAGCTATAACTATCATTTATATTTACTGGCAAGGTTAAAAAAAATATCAGGCAGTTTACCTGTTTGAAAAGGTCCATTCAAATCTATTTTAGGGTAACCAAGATATTGTGCAGCTTCTTCGAAAGCATATCCCAGAGGAGTGACAAAGGGTGGAGTAGATACCGTCAAATAGCCTCCTGTACCATGATAACCTAAAAAGATTTACAAATCCTAAAATTTATACAGCATCATGCAAATGAGATGATTACTGAAAAAACATAATTTGCTGAATAATAAATTTTCAAGAATATTAGGTTTACATTATATAAAAAAATCTGATATGTACACCACATGATATCCTTGTATGGAATATTAAATTATACGCATTTTTTCTTGCATTTCGTTTAAACTTATTTCCTCGAAACTTATTTCTGATTCAATTCACTCGGTTCTCAGTTCGCGACAAGGCAAAAATACGTAAAACCTTAAACTATCTTTATTAAAAATTGAAAAATATAGAAAATATGTAACACCAAATACAGTTAAAACCATTAAAAAACAATTTTTACAACTGAAATTAGATTTTCTACGCAAAAACAAGTAATTCGGGCAGCCGGCAAGAAGGCAAATTTTTCGGTGCACAAAACAGAAAGTTTACTTTGGTCCCACTCGGCAAAAAGGCACTGCACGTGCAGAAACAGACTTAGCCGCAATTTAGCAACTTTTAAATTGTTGATAATTCTACAACTATTGCATGCAGATTAATTAAAGGCATAAAATCCTTAACAGGAAGATAAGAACAACATAATTCAATCATTCTTAAAGCAAAAAATGAGCAATTTACCAACATATAAGAATTAAAAAGAACTGAGCTTATAAGGTATTTCTCCCGCCTTCTTAGCGTGCCTTCGTGGTGCAGTGGTCTGCACGCTGGGCGCGTATTCCATAGGTTCGTGGTTAGATTCCGGGCGAGGGCTTTGCTCACTTTTCATCTCTCCTGCTTCCAAAAATCTGTTGTCTCTACACTGGCGGCCGAACTAAAAGGGTGGTTAGATGATGATTCATCACACCCAGGATTTGGCGATTGGGTCCCCTAAAAACCCCAGTCGCCCTTTAAAAGGGGAAGTATATAACGTATTTCTCCCGCCTTCTTGGCATAGTGGTCTGCCTGCTAGGCGCGTATTCCAGAGGTCCGTGGTTCGATACCCGGCGAAAGCGTCGTTCATTTTTCTTTTCTGCTTCCAATTAATCTAATGTCCCTACAAGCTTACGGAACCGAGTAACAGCGTAAGTATATATATATATATAATTCATAATAATTTATAATAGAAACCTTTCCATATACCATCTCTCCAAGGATTACAAATTCAATTTAAAACCATGGAAAGAAAAAAAATTAGTTCAAATTTTAATTAGTATTTAAATTAGTATTTTCAAGACCTCCTTGCCTAAAAATATAAAAATCTGCTAAGAAAAATCTTTAATCGCAAAAATACCAAAAGCAAGTTTTAGCGCAAGTCATAGGCTTTTAAATTTATTTTTAGTTACTTTTTTGAATAAAACAATCGTCGTAGAAGAATTTTTGGGTATTTTAGGTATGGAAGAAAAAGTAATTAAAGAGTTACGAGAGAATGACGATTGTAAAATGATAAATGAAGATATACGAAGCGATAACGAAGAAGATAAAGAAGCCACTTGTTAAAAAAGGCACAGAAAATTATTTGATTTTGTAATGGAGACTGACCAAAATGAAGAAATGAAGAGTCAAAAGGAATGATGAGCTAAACGAAGAGACTTGATAACAGGTGCAGAAAAACTTTGCACTCCATACAGCTAAACGTTTAATGAGTTGTGTCAAACATTATCGCAAGCAAAAAATCACTAGCTATTTCAAAATATAATTGTATCATATACCTACTTTTTAAGAAGTAACGGCCATCCTTTCAACGTCTATTTCATTTTCCTTTTTAATTTCGATAATATTTAGATTTGTATAAATTCATACTTTCTTAATCTGAATTGCACCTATTAAATTCACAGATTTTCCTTCTTCCCATCTATTTTTTCCATAGAAAACTAATTTTGAGGAACACGATTCTGCCGTACGCGCAGTGTGTTAATGACGTAACCTCCGAGTTCTGCAAGGGCTTACTGTATAAAAAATGTCAAACATCGGTCAGTAATTAAGTTCCTAACAAAAGGAGGCATAATACTGGCGAATATTCGTATAGCTGCAGTCCATAATGATAACGCACCTCTTTGGGCAGATGTCGGAAGGCGAGGTGTGGTGTGGAGGCAAGGAAGAGTCATAACACTAGCATATATTCATTAAAGCATAATTGTAATTTATAGTAATACTGCCACCTTTTTGTGCAGTTGTCAATATCAAGATGTTCGCCGAAAGCATCGTTAACAAAAATATCGCGAACAAATCATCGAGGAGAAAACAACGTAAGGTGAAAACATCATCGTACAAAACATCATGGGAGAAAAGAAAGCGAAGAAAATACGTCGCAATTATACAATAGCTCTGTATAAAACACCGTCGTCGAAAATAAAGCGATTCTAAAACATCGGAATTTTAAAAACATTGTCATAGAAAATATCGTGATTAAAAATAAAGCACCTACAAATCATCCCATGACGATAACATGGCAGACATGTGATTTTTCTGAAAAGTTGCAATTCGCATTATGACTTGTAAGCGCAAGTAAGAAAAATGAATATTTTTCCTCTATATTTTATATCTTTGGACTAATTAATATTTTTTTAGCTAAAAAAGCGAAAAGAAAAACTTTAGCATAAAAAAGCTTAAAACTGAGTAGAAAATTAACACTACGTACGAATACGTAATTAATTCTACATAGTTAATGGAGTTTTAAATTTATGTACTTAACTATTTACAAGTCATTATTTAATTACTAATCTCTTTTATGAAGTTATATTGGCAGTTTTTCATGAAAAATATAATTTAAAAAATTAGAAAAAGTAAGATGAGTAATTGCATGAGAATACCTACATTAAAATTGCATAGTTAATTATGAAACTGTAAAATTATTACCTTTGTAAATTTTATATTCTTTTAGTAAAAGTTAAGTTTTGTTTTGTCTCGGTTCACTCGTCTTTTTAGAAGTGTCATTAACTTTTTTAATGTACAGCCTCGTTTGGATGTCAATTAGTTAGTTATGATGAAACGTGTCGGGAGGAAGCTACGTGACACTTCAGATTTGGATTAATTGGATTATTGCAAAGCACATTAGGGGCTCTGCGTAAGGGGAGGGAAGTCTTTGTTGAGGACTTTCTCAGGAACTGTCGCACAGCCATATTATATATTAGGAATTAGGAAAACCACAAAATTCTCAAACAGGGAGTTCGTTCGCTCGGTCAAACTACTAGCCTTCAGCGACCCCTCGGCCACAACAGTGACAAACCATAACAGGAATCTTGGCTCACTGAGCAGAAACGCTTTGTTTTTGCACGACACATACTCATATATAAAGGCTACCGTTTCCTAGGTTGCTGATCAATATTCCTAATTTAAATTTCATCTTTTCCCCTTTATTTATAAGACTTGGCTCTATGATTATTTTTCCCGCTAAAACCACTGAAGCAGCATTTGCACGGCGAGGGTTAAAACCGCACTGAAATGGTTTCAGAGCTGGGACATAACATTTACTTTCTGCTAAGTTTTAGCTCTTAATAGGTCGAAGTGCATTTGAAACTACAAAGAAAACTCAGTAACTCATTTTCGACGTTTATCTGGTACAAATATATTATTACTCTTAAGACTTATAGTTCAGTCTTTGCCCAAGAATGGTGAGCTTGATACTGGCTGCGATTAACCCATTACGTTATAAGACAGTGCAAGTCTGTTAATTCGTTATAAGGCAATCGAGTCGGTTGTTGCATCTACCATCTTAGAAATGAATAGGAAATTAAAATCCGCGATAGGAACATAATGGCATGGCATTGATTTGCATTTTTATAACATAAAATGAAAGAAATACATAGTGGTAGGACAAAACGAGAAAAACAATCAATCAGGCATGAACAGAAAGCATTTATTTCATGATTTTTCATATTCGTTTTCATAAAATTAAATTAATGCATGCAGTTTACCATTCAAAGCTATTTCTGGATTTCTATTGTCCTCTGACTTGAGAAAGTATGGGAAAACTTCTTTCCAGCTCCAACCATAGGCTCCGGCTTGTTCCCATGCGTCATAGTCTCTTCGGTTACCACGAATATATAACATATAGTTGAGAATACTTGATCCTCCAAGTACTTTTCCACGTGGCCAGGGCATCTTCTATAAAAAGACCAAATTTTTAATTTGAACATTGAATTTACCCGTGCAGTTTGATTAATAAATGTAATCATCATAAACCTTAATTGTATGCTATTCTTCTTGATACTGAAAGCAAAACTTCATTCATTTGCAGACTTTTCCTGTGTTCTATGAAAATTAGATAATCTGAATCATATTACTTCTTTCATTTTAATTGTTTTTTCGTGTGTATATGCGGTACTCTTCAAGATTAGTAAAGGTGAAGCATCAAAAAGACTTTAATGATTAATCTGATAAAATTTTAGGGTACCTACAAATGTCATCAAAGGAAAATAAATTTATCTAGGACCTTTCAAACATTTTTCAGGTGTGAATCTTTACATTGAAATGTAATGCTTCTCGAACTTGTTTAGTAAAGATGTAATTCACCAAGGGTTTAGACGCATTTTTATGACAAATTCTATAGTGTTTATTAAAAAAAAAGTAAATAGAAATAGATATCGCATAATAAAACTTAAAAAGGAGGAGAATTGAATTCACTTACACAGATTAGTAGATAACATTAAGAAGGAAAAAGTACAACTGTAATCGAATTCATTCATGCTCATGCGAGAGCAAACCATTCGTGTTCATCCGACTGTAACCAGCCTCAAGCAACAGTGAGAAAGAGAAATTTTAAAAACAGTCTTACATATTCTTGGAGTTTACATCTTTCTCAGATGTATAAAAAACGAAAGTATCAGAGCCGGTATCAAAACTGGTAATAAAGATGAACCGTTGATAGTTCTCTCAGGTACTTAGAATCCATACCCTTCTGTTCGGCATGTTCCTGGGGAAGCTGGCTGCCATGGCGTTGGGACCGGTTTCGAATCCAGGCGAAACCATAGTTTTTGTAAATATAATAATAATGCTTTTCAGGCATAGGAGTACTTACACTTTACTGTTGAGAAAAACCTCTCGAATGGTTGGTAGCAGAGGAAAAAGAGGCAGGAGACCTTCAAATCCGACTTCTAAGATGTTTTTAATCGAAACTGGAATAGAGTTGAGCAAGCTATGTCACCTATGAAGTGTCCAGTGTATTTACCAACAACGAGCGCAATTCCGTGGCCATAAAGAAATCATGAAAGTAATATTGACTATATTCAGATCGGAAAGATTAGCCACAGCAGTGATGAATACGCAGTAAAGATTAGTCTATATAAAAATTATCCCTTGACTTTCGTGGAATATTGTTTGATATTAAATTGTGTTGATATATAAAGCAAATTATCGCTGCGAATCGCTGTCTTTTAGCAACTTTTTACAACCAAAATTACTCAAAAGGGGCAAAAAAACTTTTATACAAGACTGTAAAAAGACCTACCTTTAGTATAACTCTAAAATCTATATATTCACTAAGAAAACCATTTTAAGCTTATAAGGTATTTCTCCCGTCTTCTTAGCGAGCCTTCGTGGTGTAGTAGTTTGCACGCTGGGCCGGTATCCAGAAGTCCGTGATTCGATTGCCGGCGAAGGCTTTGAAAATTTTTCATCTTTCCCGCTTTCAAAAATACTTAATGTCTCTACAGTGGCGCCCGAACTGAAAGGGTGTTGGATAATGATTCTCCTCACCCAGGATTTGGCGATTGGGTCACCTAAAAACCCCAGTCGCCCTTTAAAAGGGGGAGTATACAAGGCATTTCTCCCGCCTTCTTAGACAGCCTTCGTGGTGTAGTGGTTTGCATACTGGGCCGGTATTCCAGGGGTCCGTGGTTCGATTCCCGGCGAAGACGTTTCTAATTTTTCATCTGTCCTGCTTCCAAAAAATACCTAATGTCTCTACAAGCTATATTTGCATGGAAAATCTCAATAAAAATATTTGATGGTGTAAACGATGACAATTTGTGGGGACAAAGTTCTGCGATGATTACTTTGATAGTTAAGTAGGGATAGATGCGAAACTTTCAATGTGAAACGTATGAATCTATCAGTAAACTTCTTTATTAAGTGTCACATAAAGGAGTTACTTATTGATTTAAACAAATGTTTACCAAATTACTTACTCTGTCGACTAGACCAAAACATGAATAGTTTTGGGGCACCGTGAGGTACTTCCAGTCATTCCTTGTCATTTGGAGCTGAGCAGCAAAGATAGGTACTTCACTTTTCAGTTTGGGGAAACTTCCAGCCTCTAGCAACAGGACACTGATGTCAGGATCCTCAGACAAGCGATTAGCGAGAACAGCTCCAGCAGATCCTGCTCCCACTGCAAAAGACAACAATGAAGAAGGTGTCAGTAAAAAGCATTAGATAATATTACTATTAGGTATATAATGATTTGTGCCACAAATAACAGCTTTCCCCTCAGCAATCCTTTTAATGTACTAATTGGTGTCTTGTTATCCGCAAGAAAAATGCTTTTCTCTTGCATTTTCCTAGAGATATATTTTTGGAAGCAAGGTAAATATTATCTATGCCTTCTCCGCGATTCGAGTGTGGATCTTCTGTCTGATCGCTAATTACACCCTAACAGCACGCGCGGGGATTCGGTAATTCCTTATGCTGCTACAGAATACTATTGAATATTTTGTTTTACTATTTCAGTTCTAAAGGTATATTAGTGACATCATCTCAAAGATATAGGAATTGAAAAAAAGAAAAAAAAATTAAATAAAAAATAAAATGTCAAAAAACAAGAAGAAAATTCTTTCGATTCGAGTCTTTCATATCATTCAGTTCGACTTATAATTCAATGCACAGTAAAATTAATTTTAATTCTCGATATAAATATCATTACCTTTTTACCTTTTCACCATCGTTTTTATTCAAATGTTACTAAATAATACGCATACGTTAGGCTTTCGTTTGCTGTGAGATATTATATAATCCCATATACAGAACAAAAAAACGAATTAAAATATAAAACCCACAGATTTAGTGCTCCTGAGGTATTAACAATGCGCAATGGACTATTCAGGATCACAATATGACATTTTACCACTGCTTTTATTATTTTTATAGTAAAATTAATCGTAAGGAGGAATTTTTAGGAGGGAAACTTTCTATTATTTCTTGTAACAGCGAGTAACAAGAGTCCGTATGGCCTACTGTAAGGTTACTTATAGCAGTGGTGCAAATTATTAAAGAACATGGTATATCTTGTATTATAACATAAAAATATTCCTTGTTTTCAGTCTTCAGAATAGCAAAGTTTTTATTTCTCCTTACGTATTTTTCCACGGATGACGCCAGCCAACAATGTCATCACAAGTGTCAAGCCAGAAACTTTGCTTTCGATGTCATGAGCGTGCCCGATCATCACTTTCGGCTACCAACCGACGCGCTCCTGACCCACTACCAATGTCAAGCGGATGACAAATTCTCAGACTCATTCAAAGAAACTCTTGCAAGAGTCCTCAACCGAGACAAAGGCCATTCTTGAACACTGTGTGTAACAATTCTTCTTTCTAAACATATCGTGGCACGCCCTTTTCTATGATATTCAAATTAATCTCAAGTGTCACTGATGGCTGATTGTAAATCACATCTGTTGTCCTTCAGTTTCGCAGACATTCTCCAAAAGATCCGGGAAAGCAAAGGCTAGTAAATAATTCCGTCCATTTCTATGAAAACGCAATCCATTTCTATACAAGGGAAATGTATATATTATTCAAATTTAAAAAGAAATTTGAATTTACTTCCTCTCTAATTCAATTTATGTTCCTGCACAAATAAAATGCTACTTCTAAATGTATAACTTAAACATTATTTTACGTGAGATGCTAAGAATGTAAGATATTATTCTTTTCAATATTTTTAAAACATTTCCAAAAGCTTATAACATCCTAAATCGTTAATATCGAAATTAGGCGGTTATGCTTAGAATGTTGCGCTTAAATTTATTTTACAAGCAAGTAATGTACAATATATCATTGCTTTACATGAAACAGCATAAAAAATGGAAGAAATTTTTAAGAATTATTAGGCGTTCTACTGCATGAAAGAACAGATTAATTGATTTGAAACAGTTAAAGATAAAGGAAGCATCATTTATCAAGAGCCAAAAATTAACAAAATATATATACTTAAGATTCAACTAAATAAAACTGCAAACATTTGCTTATTAGAAAATGTCAGGATAACGACAGGGTCGGGAAAGGAAAAAGGGGCAGGAAAATAGTATCCACCTCTTCCCACACACATGCATAAGCACTTAAAGACAACTGCAGGAAATAAACAGTCCAGAAGAAGAGAAAAAAAAACAGATTAAAAAATATGCCACAGCCAAAAATATTGTCTAAGAAAAACAACACTACAAAAATATATAAAAATGAAAAGAAGTTTATATTTCAGTTGTAGTAAAAATCTATCGTAGTGACTACCTCTCTAAAAACAGAGTTTCTCAAAGCAAGCAATGTTTCACAGACCATACGTTAACGTCCTTAGTGAACTACTCTTTTCTCTGGGACTATCACCTCTATAGAAGACCTAAATCCTATTGAAATGTGAAAAACTTTCTTAAACAGTTTATGTTTTAAATTTTTCAAAATCTGATGAAGAATATGCACAAGTAATGAATGTGCTCTGAGTGCTGTAAATTTACCTTGTTTAAAAATCATAGCTGTGGAATAATTTATTTTGATTAAATTTTATCAAATGCATTGATCCTTCTTGAAGCAATCATCTCCCTAAGACAACTGCCACTGAAAATCGTTGTACTTCTGAGAGCATAATATGGAAATCTGTATTGAACATCACCTTTCTAAAATGACTACTTTAATAAAAGACTAAAATCATTCGGAATCATAAGCGGTCTTTTACAGAAAATTCCAGGCAGCTCTGTAGTGCACCTACGAATATTTTACGGAAGATTTCATGGCATGCGTTAAGTATGTACATATGTGTACATAGTTAACACGTCGCATTAAATCGGAAGAAGCTATAATCAATAAATCAGTGCAGTTATAAGGTATTTTCTCCCTCCTTTTTGCATACCTTCGTAATGTAACTGGAAGCCCATTTGACGCGTATACGGGAGATTCAATGTTCGAATCCCGCCGAAGGCATCGCACATTTTTCATATCTCCCGCATAAAAAACACTAACACCTCTACACAGTGAGCAATAAGAAGTATTACATTGACTGTCATTAACAATAAATAAAAGAACTCTGTACATTCTGAAGTCTGTTTGTCGAAAATATTCGGGATGTAGTAGCAGATTTAATATATAATAATCACCATATTATTGTACCTCCTGTACATCTATTAACAGCATGAAGTAAAAAATTCGAACTAATATCAGTGGTCAAGTGGATAATTCTATTGAACTCTGATAGTTTAAGCGGAATCTAGTCTCAGCGAATGCGCTGGCATCGTGACCATTATTCTGGTTTTCTCCGAATTCAAAACAATTTCTGTTAAAAATTCCTTCCAAAAGCATTCCGCATCTTAAATAAATAGCTGTAGTGTGTTTTGAAGAAAACCAATTAAAAGTATAAAGTTTTTTCCTATCTGAACTTATTGACATTGCCTAAACATTCATTAAATAAACAATGAAGAAAATGAATACAAGAATGATTTGCATTCATCGAATCCTAAGAAACTAACTACGACGTTTATTAATATGTGTTTAAGAATAATCACCATTCTTATTTAATCACTCCGAAAGGTATCATTAATGCTCAAATATTAAAATTCAATGAAAGTTAAGATAAAACCCTGCAGCTGCCGATGATTTTGGCTTTTTGTAGAGATGGCTGTCTTAGACAGATGATGTTGATTAGCGATGTTTGTGTTAGCGATGATGACCATATCACCTTCTAAATATGGTCTTCTTAAAACCGTTATCGTTATGAGAGGATTCTGCATGATAAAATTTTTAAAAACAGAAGGAACGTTCTCTAAGAAGACCATATACAATTTCATATTATCTTGATCTTCTGTAGAAAGCGACCATACAAAATTTCAGATTATCTCGATCTTCTATAGAAGTGATGGCTGAAAGCCGATCACTTCTACAGAACCATTCTTCTACAGCATTTAACTTACTACACTTCTGTAAACTTAACACTTCTATAACTTTACACTTCTGTAGAAGTGATCTCTTACAGCGATCACTTCTGCGGTGATATTTTGTAATCAAATTTTTTCCTTCAAATTAATCACTGTAGTAGTGATCTTTCTACTACAGTGATCACTACTACAGAGCGATCACTACTACAGTGATTAATTTGAGCATTGGTGATCTACTCTCTGATTGCTCAGAGCTATCACTTCTACAGAACCTTTCTTCTGTAACATTGAACTTACCTTGATCTCTTCTGTAGAAGTGATCGAGCTAAGTTCAATGCTGTTGTTTTTTTATGTTTAAGAAATTCTTGTCACTCTCAGATGCGGTCGCCAGAGGAAGGTGATTTCCAGAATGATCCCTGTATTCATAGAATACAAATTTCCCTCTTCCTCGTCTTCTTTTTATTGGTTGGTTATTTTATTTGTTCTATTTTCTAATTTCAATTTTATTTTATATTGTCAGTATCTTTTCCTGTCTTTTTTCCTATCAATTTTTATTTCGTCGAAGTTTCTTCTCGGTTTGGTTTTGGTTTGGTTTATTTAGTTATGGCAAAGCACACTAGAGCTATCTGCCTAAGGGAAGGGATGCTTCGTGGAGGACTTTCTAAGGGAAACTGGCTCGTATACACGTTACAAATGAGGAAAACCACGAAAACGGCCATGCAGCCAGCCCGTTAGCAGGATTCGAACCTCGGACCGAACTACCAGTATTCAGCGACTTTACCGCTCGGCCGCTGGTGGGGTCAAGTTTCTTCTCGGAATTTTTCCCTGAGATTCAATAGTAGTTAAGAAATGCGGTATAATGCGTTCTCATAATAATGCGAAATATTATAAGGGAGTTTAAATAATATATAATAAGTTTAACTTATGTTGCACTTTTACTAAGATGAATACAGGTACAGGAACTAGAACTTCACCGTTGGTCCACAGGTATAGTCCTACTACACTAACTGTGATTCTACGTCTCAGTTTTCATGGAAAACACTCCGGCGTTCTTCATCAAAACTGATGAATCCGGCTGCTGAATTCAGTTACCAGGTTTCAACGGAAATACCCATTTTTACCGCTACCAAATCCGACGTCTGTACTTACGTACGGACAGAATAAAGAACTCTTTATTCGAAAATGATGTGTAAAATTGATTCAAACGGATTTTTTTTCATGCCCATCTGTACGTACATACATTTATATGCACC